GTCTATGTTGCACTACTGTTATGGTTTTGGGTCATAAACAGTTATCAAAATAAGAAAAAATAATTTTTTAGTATTTTGGTTTTGGGTCAGTGTTCACGAAGTGTTTTAGCAATGTGTAGATTAAACAAGGTCACACCAAATATATTTTTGTTGACAAAATCAACACTGTAATAGTCTAAAAATAAAAATCACAAAAAAACAAAACGTATACCGGGCCTTAGTATACACAAAATAAAACAATTATTTCAAGGAAGCTACTGATGAACATTCTCAAATGAACTCACGTACGTCATGGAGTGACACAAGCTTAATGTACGTAACCATCAAGCACTGCAAGTTGAACCAATAAACAAACTCTATATATTCTGCTAGGAAAGTGATCACGAAAGCTCACAACACAAGACTAGAAAAAACAAGAATATTATACACACACACACACACCATATGATCAAAAGCTTGCATAGTGTGTCCCAAATCAAGTCCCTCTAGCTCTCAGTCTGTAGTCCTCCTCCTCCTCCTCCTCCTCCTCCTCCTCACCTTCTCTCACGCCACTATGTCCAGCTCCTCAACTTTACTGGTAAGTGGTAACAAACATATCCCTCAAGCTGTTCAAAACCCTAATTTCACTTATTCGGCGATGGAGGCTTACGATCACGATCATTATTATCATCATCAAGTGCCTGAGTGATCCCCCCCCCCCCCCCCCCTTTTTTTTTTTTTTTTTTAATTCGATCTAATTATTTTATTTTATTTGGTTATCATTATTGTAGAAAATCTGAAAAAGGGTTGAAGAGATCAATTAAGAGTATGGATGTGGGATTAAGGATAGCTTTTCGTACCAAGTCTGAGGTTGAGATCATGGATGATGGATTTAAATGGAGAAAGTATGGGAAGAAGTGGGTGAAAGATAGCCCCAATCCAAGGTAAATAATAATCAATAAGACCTTTTGATATATATATATATATGTCACTATATGCAATTTATCTTCTTCTTCAATTTTTTTTTTTTTTTTTTTGGGTTACATTTAACAATGAATCATCAATTATGATAATGTTGATTTAGTCATTGGTAGAGTATATTATTCTATCACAACTTGAAGCATTAAGATCATACAAAACCTTGATTCACTTCCCCAAATATATATATGTGTGTGTGTGTGGGGATGAAAATGATTATTTTGTTTCAACTTGCCTAGCTAGCTAGAGTACAATTATTCTTGGTTTCTTACTGCAATATTCTCTTTTTAGTGATAATAATTAATAATAATTGCTTGACTGTTTGTCAACTCATTTCGCGGAAAGGCAGCAGCTACCTCATTATTTAATATTTATAGTGCATATAAAACAAAAACAGTAAATTAATAGAAAAGAAAATGGAATATTATTTCTGTTGGATAAAGCCCCTTCCTCCTGCAACTTAAAATACCACATCAATCAGAGTCATGTTTGACTGACCCATCTTAATTGAACGTATGCATGCATTGATAAGTATATATATATATATATGTGTGTGTGTGTGTCTCGCTCTCACTGTATGTAGTTTAGAAGCATCTTTCTTTTACTCTTTAAAGTCAGAAGAGGAATAAGTAGGAGTTCACACTAATTGAATTGGTTCGAGTTGGACATAAAATTAAAATCAATTAATCCGCCTAGAGATTCAATCTATGAAAGTAACGTATTGATTTATTATTTAGTTTTGAAAGTCTAGCTTTGACTAGATATTATTATTTTTTATTTAGTTTTGATAGTCTAGTTTGCAATTTTTTATTTTTTTTTTAATTGGTAATCACACACACATGTTTTCACCGAGACTCGAACCATTTATTTTATTTTAGAAGGTAATAAAAGTCTGGTACCGCTTAACCATTGACCCATTCATCTTTGCAAATTAATTGGTAAGACCACAACAACCATAATATATTGATATATCTTCTTACTTGTAAAAAAAAAAAAAAAAAAAAAATGGAGTTATAGAAAACTAACAAATATGAAGAATTAAGGTAAAAAGACATATCTAATTAATGAAATAAATAAAAAGTATTATATTGACATCGGATTGATTTTTGAGACCCAAATTCATAGACCAATCTCATCTATAAATCCACTAACAAGCTAGTGAATTAAAAAATCAACCATGTAGGGCTCGATTTGAACCAGATTAGATTCACGGATCAAATGAATAACTCTAAAGATAAATGGGTGTGTGTGTTTCTTGTCAAGGAAGAAAAAAATAAAAACTAGGGGGAAATTTAAAATTTGTATAGGATCATAATTTAATGTAAAATGGTTACAATATCATGCATTTTCTTTCTCAACTCATGCATAATTATAAACTAGCTATGTATCTGATTCATGTGAGCAACAATTAAACAGGAATTACTACAAATGCTCAAACCAAGGATGCAATGTGAAGAAGAGAGTAGAAAGGGACAGAGAAGACTCGAGCTATGTGATTACAACCTATGAAGGAGTTCACAACCATGAAAGCCCTTGTGTTGTATTACAATGAAGTGCCGATCAGTGAATGGACTTTGCAACATTCTCACACCTCCTCTTGAAGACTACATACATACATACATACATACATATATATATATATATATATATATAATATGAAATTAGATTAGTTTATATTCTATGAAAATGTAATGTTAGTTTCTTATATTTAGCTCCATTGAAAGAATTTGCTTCTTTTATCATACTTTGAGATTACTACGCTTTTGTATCTTATGCTAAGGGTGAAAAAGAGGTGGATACCACTAATGGACATTATCCTAGAAGGTTGAGCGTTCGAATATGTTAGGGGCATATTGCGTGGGTGTATGTATGTTTGATTGAATTTTCAGATGAAAAAAATAAAAAGAGAAAGAGGAGAACAAACATGACTTACGGAATCATACTCTACGGCTTGTTGAACTCTACTGCTTGCATCTCCTCCATTCCCAAACCCTAATATTTTACGTCCAATCTTAATTTAGAGATGATTCAAGCTTCCACATTTGTTGTCTGCCATCTTTGTTGCAACCCCATCTCCAGAATGACTCAAGAGTCTGAATAATTAATAAATAAGTATAACTCTATTGGTATCTAAAATTTTAAAATTTATCACCACCTATTGCAATCTGAAACTAAATTTATTTCCTAAAACTCCATTGATAATTGGAGTCTTATAATTATGGTTAATTTACCATGTTTGGGCTAATTGTTTAGCTTCTTCTGTAACGGATTGCAATATGAAGGGTTTGCAATAGAAAATCTCAAACACAGAGGGGAAAAACAAAAATATTTCCTTTTGGATGATCCGCAAAAAGATCCAAATAATTTTTATTAATTATTTTTAAAAAATATATTTACACATGCTTCAACGGAGTTTTATTCCAATTATTTAGGATTAATTAAATAAATTATATTTTGATATTTGACTCTATTTTGGGGGGTTATAAAGTAAGATTTGTGTATTGAATCATAAATATAAATATTTTTGTGCATATATATATTTCAAAAGTTCTATTGGAACTCGATCCAACAATCAACCTTGATTCATAAACTGGTTTAATGGTGAAAACCTCAATAGGAAATGATTATTGGACCTGTTTGGTTCACGTTTTATTTTTGGTAATTTTGTTTTTGTTGGATACTGTAACAGTGAACTGTGCAAAAAAAATGCATTTTAAAAAATGTGTTTCATGAATAGTGGCCAAAAATCAAACATCAATTTGGTGTTCAAACTTGCAATACATTTTTATTAAATATATTTTCATATTTTCGCTTCCAAGAATCTTACAACAAATGAATATTACCAAACATGTTTTGAATTATTATGCAAAACACCCTATAACAAAACAATTATTTTCTTACAACAAATGAATATTACCAAATATGTTTTGAATTATTATGCAAAACACCCTACAACAAAACAATTATTTTGTTTCGGGTGAAAACAAAATAGCTGCAGTGAAAAAAGAAGCTTCAGGGAACCCATCTCGAAGTTTAGTGGGAATCATTTGATTACTTATGGTGAAGTCAACAATGGCAAGTCAAGCTGTGAGTTCAATTAAAATTCGTCGCAACACCAGTGTCCCCGCACAACTGGTCCTAACATATTTTCAAATGCATCAACTTCATTCAAACTTTTGATAAATTGAAGAGGCTCGAAATTTCACATCATCTAATTGATGATTGTGATGGTAAGTTCGTGACCTATATTTTGTAGTCAATCAGAGGAACGAAGACAATTTCTTGGTTTTGTTTTCCATATCAAATTATTAAGCTTTTCACTCTCTTCCAGCCTTGAAACCTTGACCTAGGGTTTCCGTCTAACCGTCCCGTAGTCACAAAATGAGGTGTGAACGTGAACCCTTGATATAGGACTTTGGGGTGTAAACGTGTGGGAGTGAATGTGAGTATTCACAAAATTGTGCCATGTAATATATATGACGCTCCATCAATTAGGCCACTGTATAATCATATATATATATATATGTATGTATGAAAAAGTTATTACTTGATATGAATGAATATTAGAATATTAATGATGTCATTTTTCATACTATAAAACAATCCATCATTTGATACAATAAACACTGGATAGAAAACAAAAACAGAGCAATTATAATCGTAAAGGAAAAACAACCATTCTAAGCAATTTCTCTTTTAATTCAAAGGAGGATTTATGAGTGCTATTGATGGATTGAGAATTGAAACATAAAAAAAGTCGGTGAATACCAATGTGTAACATTTCTAATATCTTAAAGCAATCAAGCTGGAACTTTTAACCTCGTTTTAGGTGCATGCATCAACACTGGCTCAAAAGGCTAGGGTTCAGTGGCAGCTTGAGTTCGCAAAGCAAGAGGTGGAGTGAACAAAGAAGAAACAAATGCGAGGCCCTCACAAACAATTTAAGCAAATACAAAGAAGCCAGGAGATTTCGCGATCCAAATAACTATCAATGGTTACAGTAAATGAGAACTTGCTCAAAAGAATGACAGGACATAAACAGATAGAAGAAACCGGACGATAATTACTGAAAAAAGAGTCCATTAGGATACACCATGATAATTTGAACCACATCAAATGATTATCCACCCGGTGACTGAAATATAAACTGGTAAATTTCTAGACAGTAACAATACACATTCAAAGGTTTGGACCACGATTTTTCAGTAACTATTTAATCACCAGGCGTGACTTCGTACTAAAAAAAAAAAAAAAAGTAGTTACTGTAAAACCAAGCTTGCAAAATTCTTTCCGAAATTCATCAGCATTTGCCAAGCATGATGGCATCTACTCACCAACCACGGTTTTTCAGGAAGTTCCTAGTTCTCTTTCTCAAGCGAGTAAAAACGATGACACCACAAGCAAGAACCCATGGAGGGACTCTCCCATCTGAGAAGTTTATTTTTTTCATCCATCGTGGGGGTTCCTTCATAACGAATGTTATCATGAGGGTTATAACCACAACTCCTAACAAGATCTTGGTAATAGGTTTGATCATGGAGTCCTGAAATGAAGGTAAATGGGATAAGGAATTAACTCACTTCATGTATAAAAGCATGCAGCACAAACTAGTAATAGATATAAGCTGAAAAGCAATTATATGTACAAGCATTTCAACTCAACAAAGACTAGTCCCAACTATCTGCTATCGATGTACCAATCATATTTTCTCATTCTACTCTAAGGTTTTAACTTTTAGTGATATCACATGCTAGCATATCATTCCTTGCTATCTCAATCCATATTAATTTGGTATTCCCTTTTTTATTCGTGTTTTAATTTTACCATATCAAAACAACATGTATAATATTAACGTGCTTATGTATAAAAAAAATTAATAATAATAAAATAAAAACAATGTATATGAACTTCAAGGATCCTAATCTTTTTCCGGAAATGCCAACACAACCACAATTCTGGGAGATCCCATGCAAGAAGTACAAAGTGATAATTGGGAATTTCATGCAAAAAGTTGTTCCATAAGGGTATTTAAACAACTGAAAGGGAAATTTAACCATTTAAGAGACATTTAGAGAGTGCAGTTACCTGCTTAAAATACTACATACTTAAAGTTGTTCCTAAGGGGCACTTTTGATATTTAAACAACTGAAAGCGAAATTGTACCATTAAGAGACATTTAGAGAGTGCAGTTACCTGCTTATAATACTACATAGTATCTATCCTGTTTCCAATCGAAATTTGAATATTAGAAAGAAAATGAGATTTGACTGCTCAAAAGATATATACTGTCTAAATGATCCAAGGACACTATTGAAGATACGGCGTCTAGTTGTCCAACCTTGTACCATGCTTTTCACATGCCAATTTTAAGATGGTGTGAAAAACACTCAAGAGTATGGGTATTGTGGTAGTAAATGATTTCCACCTGCTGAATGCTAGTTTCACTCAATCTTCATTTGTAAAAATACCGGGGGGGGGGGGGGGGGGGGGGGGGGTGTTGTAGGGAGTGGGGGTGAAGGGATTTAAGCACTTTCTTATTGTTATTTATTTAATTGTGTTCCCACTTCCCACTTTGGAAGGAGATATTCAATGGTCTAATTCAAGTACTTTTTCATAGGCCTAGTTCAGATCATTGCAAATTTGCAGTATTATCTTTCCATGGCATCAATTTTTTGTGGAGCCTTTCTTCCTTTAAACTTGAAAAGATATGCCCTCTTCTATTAGTTTGGAAAACAAATCCAAAATTAATTAAGACAATATTAACATGGTGGGATGGGGGGAGAGTTCAAAATATCCATCAAATAAGTGGAATCAAGAAACTGTCTACTTCCAAATAATGCTTTGAGGCCATACCACATCAGAATCTAGTGAAAAGGATGGACACATGTGGTCTTTATGAGCAGGAAATTCAATATTTATGAGACAAAAACAAAGGAAATGAATAGTTCAGAAAACAAAAGGTACAAAATCCAACCTCAAGGGCAAATGGGAGGAGATCTTAGTTGAAGGAAACATTGAAGAAACATGTTTTGAAATGAGTGAAGAAAAAAAGGCAAAGCCGATACTAATTCTCTCTCGGAAATGCAAAGAATAAGGTAACGCAAATTTACACATATATGCTTCAGGCAGGGAATGAGTACCTAGAAAATTACCACTTTATGATTCTGAACTTTGGTCTGCCCTGTAGTCTAGACCTAGAGTCAATGATCTCGAATAAGACTTCTATGAGTTTAGGTAAGGCTTCTTGGTAGGGAAAATCTATCGCGAAAGATTATGTTAACTGTCCCATTGTCCATCTTGCTAATCATAAGGTGTCATCTCAGATGGATTTGATAAGGAACTTCCTTAAGATTATTTGGATATCATTCATAAATAATTCATACTACGTTATAATTATTTACAAAATTATAAGTGCTACTATCATTACTCCCTTCGCGACTCCATCATACTGGCCTTGATCTGTGAATCATCAGTTATGGTATTTTCCTTTGTACCTCAAAATTCTCAATTCATTGGATGCAAGCAAATCAGCAGAGGCATTAGCACCATGTAGGGGTGCAAAAAAAACAACAAAACCGACCCGATCTGCTCCATGGGGATTGGTTTGGTTTTAAAGGATTATCGGTTCGGTTCGGTTCAGTTTTAAAATAAAAAAAAGTCTAGACCAGTTCAGTTCACAGATTGAGGGTAGAAAAATCCAAACCAATCAGTGCATTATATATAAAATATATATGGTTGTCTACACTACATACCATGGAATTGCCTACACCTGATCAGCCAATATATATTCAACAATTTCTTACCTAAAAGATTCTAGCCCTAAATCATTCTTCTCAGAGCAACAGAGCTGCACCCCTTGACTGCCCCCTGCCACTCCTCTTTTCCGTCACCCTCAACTGCTCACTTGGCCGAGCTCACCAACCCTCAAGGCTACTTCTCTCCTCCACTTTGGCCGGTCATAAACCATTGTCGCATCAAAATTGACCATCGTGTTGCACACACACACAATCCCTATTTCTCACACACACTCAATCATTCCTCTCATCCTAGTTTATTCAAATGAATCCTATTTATTAATTGACTTGTCAAATAAAGTTTGGATTTTGTGTTCTAATATATGCATTTCAACAACTTCGGCTGAGGTTTTTAGGGTCAAAATTTTGTTGAATTTTGTTAGTATTAGGCTATTAGCATGCGAAACCCCCATCTTTTTGCACATTCTATCGTTTGTTGAATTTTGTTAGTATTAGGATACAAATCTGCAAAACATTCTTTCTTTTGAGTTCTACTTTATGTTTGGCTAGAAAGTAATTCTTGAATTTTCTGAAAATGAGTTCTCTATTAAGGTCCAAACTGCCAAACCAAACCAATCCAATCCATTCTCTTACGGTTCAGATTGGTTCAGAATAGATGGAGTGATAGGTTCGGTTTGGTTTCAAATTTCTTGAAACTGTAGAGAGCTGATTGGTTTCCATTAATCCTAAAACTAATCCAATCCCAACCATGTGCGCCCCAGCACCATGTTTACAAACATTTTAAGGATGAGAGGTCCTTGTGTCACACCACTCACCCTCCAACAGTCCAACACTTGCGTTATATTTTACTTATCAAAAACAGAAAAGAATGAGAGGTCCTCGTGTGATTTAGTTACAAGTGTTTTCTCTTTTTCAATCGAGTGCCTTTATGTGAGTATACAAGAAAGGTCAAATAAGACCCACTAACGAATAAATGAACTGTGTGGCTTAGATTCCTCCTAATCTTCAACTAATGAACTTTTTAAGCATTCTTTGCAATGAACATATCCTTCTCACCAAAACACAACAACCAAATTATATATAAACAGAAATTTTGAACTTGACACACACACAAATAGAACGAAAACTTAAGAGATGTAGTCACCGGAACTAATTTCAGTTTACAAGAAATGACCATAATGAGCTTATTAATATTAAAATTTTGAAAATTATTTCTGCTATAAATTCTATTTGTGAATCACTTTCCCTTTCTAGTTCCCCTTTTACTTTAAAAACCTCTTCATAATTGTGTCATTCAACTTCGAAATTCAAATTAACACCTAAAGACGAAACAAAAATTGACCTAAATATATCCAAAGCAACACTTATAAGTAATAACAATCACAGAGAGAGAGAGAGAGAGAGAGAGAGAGAGTTGTCTGTATATGTACCTTGGGTTCCCCATCAATGCAAATTACGGACCCATCGGTGTAAGGAAGCAACGATCGGCCATTTTTGGGATTGAACCGAATGGGAACGCCGCGACCCATTTGAGGATTGAAGGCGAAGACCGACTTGAAGCCATACTTGTCAAGAATATCTCTAACTTCGAGCTGGTCTTGGTCCCAACCACCTAGGCTCGACTTGAACTCGTCGATCGGCCCTTCGCCTCTCCGAAACAGACGAATCTCGACCTCTGGAACCTTGGTCCGCACAGACCTCGCCCTAGGGTTCGACTCGGGCTTCTGTAGCAGCGGAGTCGACTCGTCGGCGGCGTCGCTGACGCCGTCGATGGACGTCGTTGTGGTGGTTTCCTCGATCTCTCCGGTTTGGTTCTCTAATTCCATGGCTTTTGTTTTTGCTTGTTTGGCCGGCGAGTTAAGCGAGGACTTGGTTGGTTTATAAAGGCTTTGCATGTTGGGACGGTTTAAAGTAGTAAAATTGGGGATTTTCTCGTGGACGGCTCTGATCTGGCCACGTCATATGGAGCCCACTCAGCATCTAATTTTTCATCGAACAACCAATTTAAGTTGTCAAAGTAGTGTAGTATCGTGTAACGTTGTAATTCACTTTGTTCAATGATTTGTCAATTTAAGTTGTCAATGATTTGTGGTTCAACCAAATTCAACGGCCAAGAGAGCACCAGCTTATTGTCCTAATTCTGTTCGAAAAAAAATTCACCCATTGGAAGAATTTGGTGTTGAAATTAATTGAGAATTATAGTATGTTTGAGAGTCTTGAGTCTTTTGAATGTTTGAATCATTTGGCTCGTTTATTAGTTTAATTGTTCAATCTCAAGCTTATTATTTTAAATTTGATATACTTTGTTGCGGATCAATTTAAAGGTGCTTATTAAGTTGGTAGATGGTATCTTTTCTACCCTCGAGAGTGAATTATATTTGTGACAAATAAAGACTCTAGAAATTCAAATAATGTTCTTTAAATTATGTCGTTTCAATCCTTTTCAATTACTGAGTAATACAACAAATTACAAACTATTAAGAGTTAAATTTAAAGAAAAATATTTAATATTAAAAAATAGCGGTTATAAGATACGACACGAATACCTTTATTATTCAAGTTGTAGGGTTGTGTTGCCGAGCCCCCTACCATACAATTTTGCTATAAATATATCATATATTATTTAATTGATATGTTGTGTAGGGGTAGACAAATAATTTATGAATTCACGAATTCAATCCACAGGCAAATAATCTGTGAATCCGCGAATTCGATTCAATCTGTGTGGATTCGATCGGATTGTTACACTCACGAATCGTTGGCGGATTAAAAATGAGAATTTGTAACTCACGGATTGAGTTATTAAAAATCTGATCTGATTCGTGAATTCAATCTGATCCGTGAAATTTATATATATATATTTTTAAATAATATATTAATTAATAATAATTTAATAGATTCTAAGGATGTATTAATTAATAATTATTTAAATATATGAATTAATATAAATAAATTAGAAATTTATCTATTGAGTTTTGGTTAAAATAAAAATAAAAATAAATAATATTAATTATAAAAATAATAATAATAATGGAAAATTTAGATAAAATTCAATTATTTTATTGTTTCTGATTTTTTTTTTTTTCACTCTTTATTGTTTTTTCTTTAAATAAGAATCAAATTATATATATATATATATATATATATTGACATTTTTGTTTGGTACTTCTCTTTTTATCTATTTTTAAAAAATTGACTCATCAAGAAGACGAATAAGACAAGAACTTGCCCTGTGTTACTTCCGGTTACTTCCACCGTCGAACGAACTTGTAAGAAAAGCGGCCAAAGCATGGACCAGTGCTCAAACGTTGACGAACCTAACCCTAACCCTCCCATGGCCGAGCCAGAACTCATCGCCAACCTACACTCCCAGCTCCACTCTCTCCGGAACAGAGTCAAGGTCTTTTCTCGCCTCCTCTAACTAAACTAGGGTTTTAATCACTGATAAAGAAAAAAAAAAAAACTCACTTATACAAATTTTTTCATATAATAACTTGGGTATTCGTAAATCCAGGAACTAGAGACTGAGAATGCCAAACTATTATATCGGATTTCCAATTGCCACTGTAACAAGGTTAGTTATATATATACATACATATATATGCATGCACACACACATTTGTTGCTATAATTTTTAAGAAATGTGTTTGAAAAAACTGCAGTGAAATGATTGTATAATTGTTGTGTAGATAGAGGGGAATGTAGATTCCAATGTTGCAGACAGAGTTGGCAATTCAGTGGAGGAGAGTGCCAAATTAGAAGCATGTGTTGGTAATACCCAAAAGAAGTCAAAGGAGATAATGCCAGGTTTTTTTTTTTTCCTCATTATTATGTTGATTGCCAAAATTAAACTTGAATTGATCACTGGTTTATTTATTTTTCCAATTTTAATAATAAAAAAGTTTAATATTAGTAAAATTCTTACTACTTTAGTGTGCGAAAGCGGAAATGTTCAGAATTTCATTATATTCTGTTAGAAAATTACAAATAATGGCCTCAAGTTACTTTACAAGAAAATCGAGGAAACAAGAGTATCAAACATCAATAATTTCTTTATGTTATCCATCTTATTTAGTACAGAAGATATCATGCCATAGCTGGTTTAAACAACTGATTGCACTACTATTTGAATAACAAGAATTGGGATTTGAGTTCATGATTTTGATGTTATTATATTTTTGTTGTTCTCTGGATGAAGAAAACTTCTGGAGGCTTATAGATACATGTTTATGGTCCTGGTTCTCTATGTAATTTCATTGGAATAACTTTTATTCAAATTTATTTAATTTATGTACATGGGTACATTGGCTATTGATTTTTGTTTTGCTTGCTAAGATGCTCTCCCCAAATAAATACTTAGTAGTTTTCAGTTTTATCTATATAGTATGACTGCAAACGCGATTGTGTGAAAGAAATTACAATATAACCATATGTAGTCCATTTTAATTATTTATACATGTGTGTACATTATAACTTGTACTACAACTTGGAACTTTATTGTCTGTAAGTATGGATGATGAGATCATTATGAAATGATAAAAAAAAGAAAAGAAAGGAAAATGGATCTATTTGTTTGAGTTATAGAACTCCAAAAGAAGCTTTCCGATGATTCATCCATAGAGTAAAAAAGGATCTAATAGTTTTGTTTTATTTTTTATTTTAATCTCTCTCTCTCTCTCTCTCTCTCTCTCTCTCTCTATATATATATATATATAAATTTTTTAAGGCTTATCCCACCCTGTCTGTATCACCTCCTATTTCATTTATAAAGTTTGTATGCTACTATGCGTGGTTGCTATTCCGTTAAGCACTTCAAGTTTGAAAAGGAAAGAGGAACTTTTTGTAAATTGGAAAAGAAAATTTTTAAAGGTTGTGCTACTTATCATGTTGACAACGTGCTAAAGAAAATCTTCTTCCAAATGATCATATATTTGTGAGTTTTTTTTTTTTTTTTTTTTTTTTTCTTGCCACTTTCTCACTGGTGGATTTTAAGGTTATGACTTCTGTTCAGATGGTTTACTCACAGGCACTTAAACAAAAAAAAAAAAAAAAAGGAGGAAAGAAAAAAAAGATGGTTTACTCACAGGCCTCTATTGCAAATGCCTTGGATTCCTTCACTTGTGGAGGAAATATCTACTGTCTCAACTTTCTAGAATAAGCGTGGAGTGTTGGAGTTTGGGAGCTTGGGAGTGCATAAAGAAAATAATTTAACGACAAATGGGAATAAGATAGGAAGTGTATTTGAAGCATTAGACTGGAATTGCATTGCATCAGTCATGCAAATGCTGTAAATATGGCAAAAGTATTCACAGTGGTAGCTAATTATTGGCTGGTATGATTAGGTTGATAGGCTCCTTACTTGATTAAGAAGTTAGAGTCATGGCTTCACTTTTGTCTAACTTTCAGATTTCCAATATTGCTTCAGTCAATTTTCCGTGTGCATCATGTCATGCCTCCTTCTGTATGGAAGGTTCTGAGAAGTGTGGAAGTCGGAGTCATGGTTATATGTTTAAAACTAATTACATTTTGATGCAGGTTGTAAAATGAGGGCCATGCATCACCACTCCAAGAGATATGTTGCTCTGAAAGTGATGTATTTTGGGCAAAGGTACAAATTGTATTCATAGTTATCAATTTAATTAACTAACTAATCTCTAGTCCTTTGTTACAATTTCCATCCCTCAACACCTTATGCTCTTTTCCTTGGGATGCAGTTGAGTATATGACTTGGAATTTTAAATTTGTGGATCAGAGGCCTAAGTCAACACCACAAAAGAGAATAAAGAAGCTGAATAAATATAGAAGTTCTTTTTTGATTATATTTTACTTACAAATTTAGAACTCAACTTTTATTGTTAAACTTGTTTGGCATGATGTGGTTATGTAGTCTTATGGTCTTGGGTATCAATTAGTGTCAAAATGGGACATATGTTGCCTACTCTAAGAGGTTTGCACTTAAGTCTGTGTCATGTTGAGTTGAGTTCTTTGGTTGTTGGTGGGTCAATCTAAATTTGAACAAACAATTATGCATGTATTTAAATGTTCTTTCTTGTGTGTGTTTTTTTGAGTATATGAAACACGAATCTTTCTACAAAGGGGCTTACTGTATCAGATATAGATACTCTTCCTATACTCACAAATATGTGCCTAATACTTTCTAAATGTATCAATAATTTGAATATGTGTATATATATATATACACACACTTAATTTCTTATGAGATGTAGTGGAACCAAAAAACAGGCCTCGTGTACTAAACCAAAAAGTATAGGACTTTTTTGATCTGTAATAAATGATATACTTGAAAATTTTATTGTTGTATTTTGTTTCTAATTTGATTATGCATTTGAGTTTGTGATTTTTCCTTCCTTCTCCAAGTTTTCTCGTAAAAGTTATTTTTCTTTTTCTTCTTATATATATATATATGACCATGTTAATGGTTCAAAAAAATTCATACTATGATGTTACCACATGTGCTGCATTACAGGTTCTATGGTTTTGCTTCAGAGGCACAAATGGATCCAACTGTTGAGGTGTGTTTCTTCAATTATACAGTTTTTTTATGTAATAAGGTGAAAGACATGTGTGAATTAGGAATGGACCCAAAATGTTCCTGGATCCACAGCGCTAGATGCTTGATTGATACATATATATTAGTGTCTGTATGTATTTTACTCCTTTCCCAAAAGAAAAAGTGGTAAATCACTTGTTAATATAATTAAATATAACTTTTTAATATATAAGAAGAAGACACACACTTTGCATGTGCTCCTTATGTTATTGACAATGGGATGCACCATGATCTAATGTTATCCTCTTCTCGGATGACGTAATTACTTCTGCTATGTTATTTTGCATGTTGCTGAAGTACAAATGGTGCAACATTTCACCATAGTGGGATAATATCTTACAATGATCCTATTAAGACTATTATCAGAATTTAGGGAATCCTGTTGCTTTGTTACATCAGTGGTTTCATTGAAGTTTTTTGCTGGCTGTTTGCCTAATGCATCCTTCCTCATTTGGTGGCTAATCCTATTAGTGGAATGTAGCTAATCCCAGTGCTTTGTTACCGTTGTCAGGGGCTTATTTTTTATTAGTTATATAATGTTGGGGCTTATGTGTAATTTCTGAAACTTGTTAGTATAAATAGAATGTGGTGGAAGGATGAAAGTTTTCTTTCATTCTTTCTCTCTTTCTCTATCTCTCTCTCTCTTTTTCTCTCATCCTCTTTTTTCTCTTTTTTTTTCTTATACTTTACTCTTGATTTGATTATCTCTTAAAGTCAACAGTTACATCAAGGGTTATGTCAAAAGATTTAAATATTAAAGTTAGACCCTCTCTAATAGCTTAAGCTTTTATGGTAGATGGTGGTTAACTTATCAAAAAAAAAAAAAAAAAACTTTGATGGTAGATGGTGGTTAACATGGTATCAAAGCAGTCAAGGTCCTAAGTTCAAACCTTACCGTCACCTTGATAATTCAAGTTGAAACACGTGTTGGACCAAAAGAAGGCCACACGTGAGGGGGCGTGTTAGAAGATTTAAATATTAAGGTCTAAGCTCTTAGATCAGATGGTGGTTAACATGTTTCATTGAAGGTTTTATGCTGGCTGTTCACATAATGCATCCTTCCTAAAGGGCACATTTTGGACCAGCAATGTCAATGGCAGGAACTAGAAGCGACACGGGTGGTATCAAGATTTGAAATTGAAAGTAACAACAACTGATAGACATATCCTATTTCACCTTCCTCGTTGCTGAGCTGTGCTACTTGTCTTCTCTTTATGGCCTTGCCCACATGTGGGCTAGCCAAATGGAAACCCAACCCACATGCTATTACCAACTGCCGGATTCCATTTTAATATATATTCTTTGAACTTCAAAGTTGGAACTTTGCTGATGGACTCTACAAGTATCCATCCTAGACCATCACAAACAAGCCTTAAAAGAGTGCAAGTAATGGACTGGCCAATGCTATTATCCCACAAAGATTGTATGTTAGGATTATTTGTCCCAAATCAAAATAGTCTTAAGCTGTGTGCAGATTATCTCCCAAGCAATTCACACCTTTCAGGAAAAGAATTATCGAGTTTCTTTGGTTCTACTATAATGTATCACCAAACAGTCTCTAGCTTCAATAGTGTAGTGCATCTAGGTATGTCAGTGTATGAAAAGATGGAATACTGAAGTTTTGATTAGGGATGGCAACGGGGCGGGTTTGGAGCGGGTTTCTCTAAATCCCGCCCCGCCCTTTTTAATTTTTGTCAAGTCCATGCCAGCCCCGAGACTCGCGACGGGTTGGATTTTCATGTCCAGCCCCGCCCCGTTAGGAAATACTATGCCCCCGTGCCCACCCCGCTAACAAATTTTTTTCTCCCACTTTTTGGAACTTAAGCTCCTACTATTTAAATGTGGAAAGCCTGGGAATGGCACAATATAAATGAAATTATGTATCCCAACAAAAATAAAAAAATAACATGCACATAACATAATTCAGAGAACATAATAAACAAAAATAAAAATTTAATACAACTAAATCACAAGAAGTTCTAAGCTCCAACTTCCACCATAACAAAAACAAAAACAAAAACAAATTTAATACCAAGTTTACATCCCAAATTAGGATTGTAAGAGATGGGTAACTGAGTAAGGCGCTAAAATAAGTTATTAATATTATATATATATATATATATATATATATATATATAAATTATAAATATATGCTTAGCGGGCGGGGCGGGGCGGGGCCCCTAGGATATATATATATTGAACCCTTACCCGCCCTATGACCCGTGACGGGTACAAAATTTGTATCCATGCCTGCCCTAACGGTATAAAAAGTGTTCTCATATCCGTTATTAACGGGGCGGGGCAGTAAAAATTGACATCCCTAGTTTTGATTCTCATTCAGTGCTTGAAGAGTGGATTGGAAATGATATTGATTGATATCTTTGGCCATCTTTCATGTTGATCTCACAAAATGCAACTTTCTTTATAGAAGGCTTTGACTTTAGATGAACTTTCAGTTTCTAAACCTTTTAAGTGGAAATAAGAAATGACCATTTAGATAATTTCTTTAAGGATTTTGACCAGCATTCATAGAAGAACTGAAAATTTGACTCAAGAAGTTATACTTGCATTGACATCAAAGTTTCTTGTATTGATTTTTTTTTTTTTTTTGATAAGTAAATTTTCTTGTTCTGAACTTGGAGGCTAGATTTCTTTACATTGAATCAACTAGTAGAAAATCTTTTGTTTTCTTTGCTTAATATTAGATTCCTTTCAGTCTGAAATTTTCAAAGCTCTTGAGAAGACGAAGCTCATCGTTGGTGACAAGAAGGATTTAAAGTACTCAAGATGTGGTAGAACAGACAAAGGAGTTTCTTCTGTTGGGCAAGTAAGTTGAGAGTAGAAGCAAATATATATATATATTTTAAAATTTTTTTATCTGTTATTGCTAGTATATAAGATTGTGAAAAGTTTCATGGACATCCCATTGTTTGAACTTTATCGGTGTTATAATTTGATAAGCCCAACCTCTAGGTTAGGCCTGCCTGCCCTATTTTAAATAAATCGAATATATGAAGACATATTGAGATATATTGATGCTTGTAATCTGGGCACAGAGAAAGAGGTTTGAGGCTGTGAGGAAGGATATGATTGCCTGGATTTAACCCAGGCTAATGTTCCACATAGAGAGATAACAGAGGCAGGATGGTCTATGTATCTGACACCAAATAGTGAGAGGCTAATAAAGCTTTATATTCATTGTTTTGAGTTTGATTTTTGTTTTTTTAGGCTGTTGCGTAATCCAAGTTTATAGTGGCATATTTTGGTGGTGTTAAAAATCATATCCTCAAAATCTGAAGCCAAATTAAGATGCAAAACTCGTAATTTCCATATCTGATGATCCTATGGGTGCATCCATTTATTTGTTTGGTTATTTTTATGTTTTTAATTTCTCCCCCTGTAACCTCCATATTTTTTCTATGTGCACGTAAAGGCAGCTTCTCAAGCATCCCGTCTTACCATTTTTGAATCATTTGAGAGCACAAAAGTGATTGGTGCAGGTGATTGCTCTTCTTTTACGATCGAATCATAAGGAAACAGAAGGGACTGGTGGATATTCTGGGGAATTCACTCGAAAAAACCATGGTTTGCCAATGCCTCCTTGTGAATTTGAACTTTTAATATTCTGTACCAGCCAATCATTACATCTGTTCATTTCTGTGGTACTTGACAAGTTCTGTATGTAGAGTAATAAACATTGCCATAATCTTTTAAAGTCTCATGGGTGGTGACACATCATAATTTTGGCTCCAATTTTTTGAAAGAAATGCTAGAATGCTCGACTCCTTTGGAATATTTTTGATCTATTTAGATCATTTGAAAAAAAATTCAGCCTTTTTTTTTTTTTTTTAAATCATCTGTATCTCCCTGGATTTTATTTAAACCGATTATCCCCTCATATTATTATTATTATTTTTTATCAGAGGGAGAAATTGATTATGTGAGAATCCTGAACAGAATCCTTCCTAAAGATATTCGAGTTATTGGCTGGTGTCCTGCTCCAATAAATTTCAGTGCAAGGTTTGTCCAACTTTAGGGATCTTTTTCTTTACTAAAACTTCTGTTATTGTGATAGTAATTTATGGTAAATGTCTAACTACTCGCTTCATTTCAAAAAGATGAGATCCATATTTTAAATATTTTTTTCCCTGAATAAAGGATTGGCATTTTTATGAATATGAAAGAATTGCAGGAAAACTAGCAGCTAGTTATATATGAACCTCCATGGTTTACCGTTCTGACTGGAGCCCATGATGGCATAATAGATTCCTTTTCCTTGAATATGTAGTTGATGAACTGTACTCAAAGACAGATGCTTTAAAGAAGGGTTTTGTGTTTTTTCTTGCATACTCTCCAGTGTAAACATTGTGCCATGAGCAGCAAATAGCTGCTTTATTAGTTCTGTGGTCCATTTTCTGTTAGATATTTAGTCCTGTTGCAAGCATGATTATTATTATTACTTATTTATTTAAAATTATATATTATTTATTTTAACAAAAGGAACATACAGTAGTTTGCTTGGTTCATTTTCATTTGAGTTTACATGGTCTGTTTTTTATTTTATTTTATTTTATTATTATTTGTTTTTTATTTATTTTTAATTCCCAAGCAGGTTTAGCTGTTTTAGCAGGGTTTACAAATACTTTTTTTGGAGAGTAAACCTGAATATAGTGGTATGCTCATCTTGATTTCTTATGTATGCAACACGTGTGAAATCCATTTAGTCCGGCTCGTTTATTGCTCAGATTCTGAAACTGTTATATATTTGGTACATGTTTCACTAGGCGATGGAGACTGCTGGTAAGAAATTTGTTGGGGAACATGACTTCAGAAACTTCTGTAAGATGGATGCAGCAAATGTGCATAATTATAGGCGGCATATCACTTCGTTCGATATTTCACCATGCAATGAAAGGTGAAGAATAGTACCTGTAAATATTTTTTCTATTTACACATCATGTTCTTTAATTATGGTGGCAGATGGCATTAAACTTCACAACTATAGCCTTCTAAATTTCAAATAGTTACTTCTTTTCACTTAGGCTTGTACTCAAATTTCCTAAGGATTCATCATAATAAAATCATAAAGTAGACACGTAAGCCATATAGGGAAAATTTGATTAATTCTCTTAGTTTCTAGTTGATTTTCTGAGATGATATAGGGAAAATTTGATTAATCCTTTGGAATTGTTAATTCCTCTTTGTATCATCTTATAAATCATTCTAATTGCAAATAAATAAATAAATAAGGGTCCGTTTCGGATTAATTTTCTGATGATTTACTTAGCAATGGATCACAATTTTGGAAGCATTGTATTCCATTTACTTGAACTGTGTTTGTCTGGATGTCGGAGAAATGCTGGTGGGAGAAAAGAGAGGAAGTTGAGAACCAATGAGAGATTGATGGAAATGATGTTAAATACAGAGAACACGTGTTAGTGTTTTGTTCATGTATGTTTCTTATTTGCCGACACATTTAGTGAATGTTAGTGCAGGCATATGTGGACTGAATGTTTGAGCCAGCTTCAATAGTACTCTTCTTAATCCAGTAGTGTATTGCGTTAAAGGCCTGTTTCTGTTCGCACACACTGTGTATTATGTACATTATCTTCCTTTGGAATTCTTAATTCCTCTTTATATCATCTTATAAATCATTTTAATTAGCAAATATATATATATATATATATATATATATATATATATATATATGTATATATATATTTGGATAGCAGCTGCCATAAGCTTTCTGACTCATTCTCAAACTTGGTGATGACATCTATTGTGCTATGTCATTTATGTATATATAAAGTAGTGCATGTACTTGTGTCCATAACTTCAGTATTACACTTTTTAGTATAAATGGGAGAGTATACATCAGGTGTCATTTCGAACAGTCAAATTATTTTGAAGGGCATTTTGCTGAATATTTGGCTACTCTGTTACTAATGCTTTGTTCGGTAGGAAGGAAGGAAGAGGGGTGGAAGGAAAATAGGAGGGAATGAACAAAGTTCCTTCATTCGGTAGGAAGGAGCCAGGGAGAGAAAAGATAATAGGAGGGATGGCTCATCCCTCCTCCTCTATAAATTTTGATCTGTCCAAATTTGGGCGGAAGACACGAGAGAAAATAAGTGAAGTTGTTATAAAAATATTAAATTACAATATTATCCTTCAAAATCCCTACACATCTCATCTTACGCAAAATCTTTCTATCTTGCTCTTGCTACGTACATATATATATAGATTGATTCATGTGTTACAAACTTATTTGATTAATCTGTTATATATATATATATATATATATATATATATATATATATATGGTCCAAGATCTGCACCATATAAATATATATAGGTCTGGACCATATATATATATATATATATTCATGATAAAGGGAAAGAAAGGGAAAGTTATATATATATATATATATATATATATGTATATATATATGTATATATATATGTGTGTGTCTGTGTGTGGATTGTTTGTTTTATAATTGCCTTAGTAGTATAAAAAAGGATCAGAGGAAAAAAGTGTATTTATTATTGCTCCTTGACTACTCACCCCATTGTTAATCTGATGACAATGTCTTTCACATTCTCAAAAAAATATGATGTCAAGCTAAATTCATACTGGTTAAAATTATCGGAAATAAAATAGGGATAGTGGTCCTTGGAATGCTAGATTTTGTTTTCAGTTTAATGCTATATATATATATAAAAGAGGCAAACAACAAATTAGAGTGAAATTAGAGATAAAAAAAATGCTGATGGGTATAAGGGTAAAAATAATATAAAATTATCACTTCCCTTGTCTCCTAACGAACAAAGGAAGTTGTCAATTTTTTCTCTTCACTTCCACCCAACCGAACAAAACGAGGGAAGTTCATATTCTCTTCCCTAGGGATGTCTCATTTTTCCCTTCTTCCCTCCCTTCCATCCAATTTTTTTCCGTCTTACCAAACGAAGCATAATTGCTTACTCAAGTTTGCTACTATCATTTTTGAGTAAGTTGATTATGTGCAAGTTTGCTTGGATATCTTTTTTAGTAGAACAGGAAGTATAGATTTCCCACTCGCATTTTGCTTGCTCAAACTGTGTAGATTATGTGAAGTTTTTCTTCTTATCTGCAGGTTTGAAGGCGATGAGCTTTGGGCAATGAAAATCAAAGGTAGTGCTTTCCTGTGGCACCAGGTCCGGTGCATGGTTGCTGTACTATTTTTGGTTGGCCAGGGTCTTGAATCCCCTAATGTGCGTAGTAGCTGATCTCCTCAAAATTGATTTGTTTTAAGTCCTGTTGATGTGGCTGTTTGCTCATTGAAGAAATTCAGCATAGGACATATTGTCTCTTATTTTTCAGCCTTCAATTTGTCCAACATGATGGCTCTGAAATCCTTTAATTTAGAAAATAGCATTTAAGATGTACAACGTGTATGCCAAAAAGATGTGCAGCAATGTAGTAGTGATACACAGCCCGTATCTTTGCAGCTTGAAAAAGGGGAAAAAGGTTATACTCATGAAAGAGACGAGTTTCATATTCTTAGGGCTGTGCATAGTTTACCTATGGACTTAATATCTTGTTTCCATTCTCATTGTCGGCATCCATAACAGTTTGACCGAAGATGATTGTTGTTGCCTTTTCAGGTGGGCTCATTACTAGACAACATCCTCTGTATGTTGTTCCATTTTTTTTTTTTTAAATTATATATCAAGAAGGCATTCTTGCAATTAAAATCATGCAAGGGATTGTAGAGTTCTTGAGCTGTAATGATCCAATTGATGGTAGTCAGTTTGTGTTATGCACAGTGGTTGTGGTGTTTTATCAATGGTTGAGTAAAATGCGTGTAATATTTGTGGAGTTCCCTCAGGTTGAAATATTGGTGTGGGAGATTTTGATTGTGTCTTATCAGATGCTGTACTTTCATAGAAAGCTAATTAATGGCTGCATCTAGAATGTGGCCTTTTTTAAATATTAAATTCTTTTAGGGAACTTGGTATGCTTTACTAGGAAGTAGGAACTCACATCAAGTGTTTAAATTGTTATAATTGTAGGTGATAGATGCATTACTGGATATTGAAAGGACCTCACGGAAACCTCAATACACGATGGCTCCAGATATTCCATTGGTTCTTCAATCCTGTGAATTTGAAGATCTCAGATTTATGTGCTCATCAGGTACCTTAGCACTAAAACCATACCTAATCCTTGTTGCAGCTATTAATGTTAACTTCTCTTGCATGATACCTAATAATTTTCTTTGTGAAACATGCGCTGTAGTTACCTAATTTATACTTTACGGATAATACTCATGGAAGCATATGAAATAAGACAGTTTATCATTGTTTAACCTAATGTTTGCAAGTGGTATTCCAAATTCCATTAGGTTTCAGTGGCAGAATGTTGCCAGTTGCCACTCACTTCATCTTGTTTGTTACTCCCTCCATCGCATATTAATAGTCCATCTTTCCATTTTTGGTTGTCCCATAATAGTTGTCTCATATCAAAAATCAATGCACTTTTTTTTATTTATAATATTCCCAATTTACCACTAAAAGATAAAACAAATTTAAATCTCCAAATGGTGGACCCCATCAGAGAATAACTTTTAAAATGGGTAAATTTGGAAATATATTCGCTGCCATGTAATAAAATACAATAAAAGCTAGTATCTTAAAATATGTGAATTTTGAAACTGGACATCTACATAAATGGGACAGAGGTAGTACGTCATTTCAAACAATTACTCTGACGGTCAATCTTCTTGTATGTATTGTGTACACTTCTATATATATATTATACACACACACACACACACACACACACACACACACACACACACACATATGTATAATATGATTCATTACATATTCATGAAATGTTCCCATAGATGATTCTCCATTTTTTTTTCCCTTCGAATACTATTACAATGTGAACGTTCTAATTTTCTTTCTTTTCTATTTATTATATTTGTTTCTTTTTTAATTTCTTCTTCTTCCTTATTTTTTTTATTTTTTTTGGACCCAATTGGGGTTAGTGGTCAACATTAATATCCTTGGATTTCTCAAAATCTTTTCCTTCATGTATACAAGACTTGAGGGTATTTTCATGTGTTCTTTCCCCATCTGAATGTTCTTATATAAATGGAGTAAAATGAGGTATTTGTTGGCAACGTATGCTGTTGTTCTTGTTTTTCAATCTGTAAATATGATATAATTAATACATTTAAATTATAGAGAGGCTATTGCTTCAACATTTGGTTCTTTGTCAACTCCCATGACTCAGTTATCAAATGCGTTTAATGATTAGACGGGCTTAGTGATGTGACACTACATCCTGGTGTCATTTAGTTCAGTAAAAATAAGTGAAATGGATTAAGTGCTGTAATTGATTTTTTTGAGATTTCATGGTATTGTTGGTTTTTTGGGCTATACTGTTACAACTCATACAAGTCATGCCTTCAGTAATTTATTTCCATCATCCTTTTTCTTGAATATTTTTGAGAGCATGCTTGCTTGCTTAATGGCCATTTTCACATGCACCGACTTATTTAAATCCACGTGTTTGTATGAATTTTATGCATAGATGCCAGGCAAGCATTGCAAGCGCACTTGGAGAAGGAATGTCGAACTTACAAACTCCAAGCTACAATCTTTCACGAGGCCCTGTTGAGCTGTTCAGTTGTTGAAAGTGGTGCATAAAGCAATATTCCTGCTTTTTATTGTCTTGAACTTGTTTTTCTTACCTTTCCTTATTTCTAAGAAAACTTTGAAAATTTTCAGATGATTATTCGTTGAATAATAGAATGAAAAAGAAATCGGCTTCCCATGTTCCTCTCATGTCACGACCAACTGAGCGTGAGTCCTCTCCATTAAACTTAGTTTTCTATTCTGGTGAATGTCAGTAGTTTTCTCTTCTTAAAATGGTTTATACGAGATGGAAGTAGTTGCTTGAAATGAAATTTGTTTGTGTCAAATTGTGTGAGTTGTCTATCCAAGTGTGAAACTGCAAAGTGCATTTATAGCTCCATAGAGAAAGAATAAACTTGTAGAAGATGATTTATAGCTAAAAGGATGAGAATGGCTTTAAGTGCTTGCGGAATAGTTTAACCTCTTATGCTTATTTATTGCTGGAAGAACATTTAATGATCAGATACTGTGCTTTTTCTTTTTCTTCTTCGCAATAGATCATGGCTAAATGATTTGCTTTCAGCTTGGTTAATTGTCAACCAACTACCTTTTCATCTGTAATGTTTTCCATAATATTGTACAGCCATATTTTTTAGCAGAAACTTTTGGAAGTGTTTCCAAATGTTCTTGGGCAAATTGAGAATAAGTTGGTAGACTAGTGTAGCTATATTAACATGTAACCACCATACTTCTACACTTTTACCAGAGTCAAAAGTCACTACAGAACAAAAACAGACAGATGCTCCCTTCGTTTGTTATTGTGGCAATTCAGCTGCTTGATGGTGCGTTTATCATCCATCCTCGTTTCAAAGAGCCTTGTTCTCCCATATATATTAGTCTTCTCTTATCTGCATCTGTATCTTAGACGGGCCACTTCTTGTTTTTTCTCCATATTTTTATGATCTTCCTGTACATTTATGTTGCCATATTGTAGTCTTCTATTCTTGTTAACTTAAGTTTGTGCTTGAACTGTTTCCAGCATCTTATGAAGAGCGGCATACTAAGTTGAATCTGGCAGCACAAAAGTAGCTTGCTTTCAGGAGCTGAATTTGTTGAATGGAGGAGGTGCCTAACTGCTCTCTTTATGTTGTATGTAACATTAAGATAACTATTCTTATTCAATAATCTTGTTTTCTGATATAGATTTCTTATTGATAGGGAACTTTTGTGTTTCTTGAGATGAATAAATAACTAAGGTACCAATTTGTTGCCCGTGGTTCAAAGATTTCATATTTTGCCCTTGCGAGGATGATCACACAAATACATTTTCCGTTTGTCAAGCCACCTCTGTTGATTAGGTTATATGTACTATGGATTCATCGTCACATTCTTCTCCCTCCCATTCAGATGCAACGCGATACTGCACTACTGTTCTACAAGGGTTTGCAAGATCTGTTGCAGAAACACATTTTTGCTCATATTTTAGTGAGGAACTAATTTAGTGTAAGGGCTAGTTACCCCTTTTGAATGGTCATAAGATCTTTGTATTTTGTAGTCCATAGAGCGGGTGTAACTCAATTGTTTGGACTCAACACGTAACACGTAACACATTTTTAATTATCTGAGTGACGATGAAACTTAAATTTTGTTCTGATACCATGAGGATTACTATTTCCTCTAAACACAAAGAAATTAAAAATTTCTTGATTATTAATATGCATTCTCTTACACAAAGAAATTAAAATTTTGCTATTTGTAGTGAACTCTCAATCGAGCCAATGTTGTTTCTAGTGCTAATAATTGTGATATGTGAGAATCAGGTGTGATTCTGTCTTATACTGCTTATGCAACACAGTGATTCTGTCCTGTACTGCTTATGCAACACAATAAATCGTTATGTAACAGTGATGTAAAATTATTGCGTAAGCGATCTAAGGCTGTTGTTACATAAGTGATGTAAAGTTGTTGCGCTGACACCAGACATTTTGTGACACATTTGAGGGTCTAACCGCTTTTCAATAATTATGCAACACAATACATCATTATGTAACAGTGATGTAAAATTGTTGCGTAAGCGATCTAAGGCTGTTGTTACATAAGTGATGTAAAGTTGCTGCATTGACACCAGACATTCTATGGCACATTTGAGGGTCTAATCACAATGCATAATTCTTTTCAATAGGAGATAACACTTATTTGTTTGTTTGTTTTGTGTTTGGTTGATTGTTATGTGGTTCAATGTGGTTTGAGGTTCCCGAACCATGTTTGTCACAGCCTACGGTTCATGTTTGTCACAGCCTATGGTTTCGGGTCCGGGTCGTTACAACACGTGAAACCTGTTTGGATGGGTGAGATTTTTCTAGTGGCCTGGTTTTTGTGTGGCTTCCAAAGAGTGATACAAAAGTCAATAGTCTCGATCATAATGTGACTGTAGGGTCTGCATGTTGTTCATACTGGGTTTTCCATTGCCCAAATAATATTAGGACATGTACAGTTGGGTAAAAAAAAGTCCAGCTAATAAAGGTCCAAAAATTCAATCATTTAATCGACTATTGGTAGTGGTTGTGGGACATATTGGCCAATATGTCCATTCAAAAAAGAAAGGAAAAATTGAAGATTTTCATTGCTTTACTTTTGGTGTGCATGTGGATATCAGTTGTGCCTTCAAACCAACTCCTCATTTCCCATCATATCTGTGTAAAAGCAGACCCAAAAGGTCCCAAAACAACTCACCATCTTCTTTTTACAAGTCTAATGGTGTGACTATGAAACCATAATCACATGAAAGTACAACTCACCACCATTTTATGATCCTAAATTTTCGCATATTTGTTTATATAAAAAGTAAATATGGAGATGATGATTACCACCTACACTATGCTAAAAAAAAAAAAAAAAAAAAACCCACCTTGTTATATATTTAATGTGTAAATACGGTCAACAGATATTAAGAAACAATTTGTACATATTTTCAAATCCTACATTTACAAAAAAAAAATTATATAACTGGAGTGGTTTTTTTTTTTTGCACCTTACCCATCAATGAATTCATTTTCTCTTACATATTTTATCATGGTAGTTACTTGGTTTTTTAACATCTTCTTTTTTTCTTTTTCTTTTTTACAACAAGAATATAGTAGCTATAACTTATAAGGTCTTCCATCGTGGAAGAGAATATTCAAAACCTTTTTCAATTATATTTGCTTATCAAAATAATAATAATAATTATAAAAATCTTTATCAATAGTTTCATTTTCTTTTCGTTGTTCTCCCATCACAATCTAGAGAATATTTTTCTTTTATGATTTAAGATTGTTTTCTTTTTCTTTTTCTAAATATTTTTTTAGAACAAATAAAGTGTAAGGGGTCGAATGTTTCGTGATCCGACCAAATCTATCCGAATTTGATGCAGGACAAATCTCTAGCATTCTCTTTTATCCGAACTCATAACGCTCTCATTGCGAACAAGTTACCTTCTTGGGGTGACACATCTCGAGTCGGGCGTATGACGTGGCATTATATTAAGGATTGGATCTGGTTACCGACCGTAACAAGTCGGGAGCTTTGCAATCCGATCCAAAAACTTAAATTATTAGGTAGGACTAACACTTAACTCATTTATATCTTCATTTATATCCATTATATTTTTTACCCGAATCGAATGCATGATAAACCTATAATATATAGCATAATGCCAAGTCATTTGAAGTTTGTAAAATAATTTTCAAATTAATCAGTCTTACTTGTTAATAGGATACGTTAACAAATAGCGCAGGACAAAAAAAAAATTAGATAGAAGAAAAAAAATTACAAAGAAATTCTACAAAGAACTTCTTCATAAAATTTCTTAAATTTTATTTTTAAAAAAGAAAATTTATTTATTTTTGTTATTATTATTGCTTCATATATACGGTTCCCGCGAGGGAAACTCGGATCAAACAACGCGCCCTCTCTCTCTTCCTCTTTCTCTCTAAAATTCCCCCTTCCTCCTCTTCTCTCTCTGTATAATATACACACATATATATGTGTAGATGTGTGCATTTTTGTTGAGGTCGTTGGTAGGGTAGTGGTGTTGGTAGAAGAAAATGGAGGCAGCAATGGGATTGATGAGAAGGATTCCTCCGAAGCATACAGAGACTGCTCTCTCTGCTCTCCTAAGCCTCTTGCCCGACCATTCCTCCGATCTCCTTTCTCAAGTTGATCAGCCTCTTCAGGTCCCTTTCCATTTCACACACACACACACACACACACGCTTATATATAACCTGTTTCTGTCTTCGTGGTTTTTTTTATCATATGTTAAAACAATATTCGAATATGTTTTGTATCGAACGCCTTCGATACTGTTGTGTAGTTGATGAGGTCTGTTTAGATTTTGGGTCCGTTTGAGTGAATTTGTGTTGGTTTGGTGTTCATGGATTGCAGAAATGATGGGTACCTCTCAATTTGTTAGGGTTTCGAAATGTTTAACCCTATCTTCGATTAATTGAAAATTGAAATCCTATAGTGTTTTTTTTTTCCCTGGAAGACTACGCATAAGGTCTCTATCTCGCTTAAATTGTGTACTTTAGGTCTGCTTCTGGAATTATCGTGCTCTCAATCCATCTACTGATATAAACAAACAGAGGAAAAGGAAGGAAATAAAATTTTGAATCTCATGCTTTTATGTTGATTCGGTTTTTGAGGAAAAACAAAAAAAATAAAAATAAAGAGTGCGAAAGTTTGCCTCAAGTAATTTTATTTCCTGTGGCTTTCAATTTCTTGGATAAGCACGACATGCCACCTTCCGGGGATGATTGAAGATGGCAATCAGTGACGAGCCATACATGCCACCTTCCGGAGATGATCGAAGATGGCAATCAGCAACAGAGCCAGAAAAGGATTTGAGAGGGGCAGCCCTGAACAACAATAATACAATTAAAAATTATTTTAAACTACCATATCATCAAAATTGTTCATACTTCCCTTCAGATTACTTTTTCCAATAAATACTTTCACTTCAATTATCATCAAGTTAACACATTAAAAGTAACCCAAATTGAAAGAATTCTAGCAAGAATCATGCATACTCTTAAATTTTCTAATTTAGAAAGATAAATTGAAATTGTGATCTCATAGATTTGATATGATTAATCTTATTTTTTATTTTATTTTGGTAGACCAAGATAATAAATACAATTTTAGAAAATTAGTGGTCGACATATATCCACGAAGCCCGACATAATAATAAAATATTAAAAGATTAGAGAATCAATAAACAAGTTTAGAGTGAGTGAGAATAAACAAATTACAAGCCTTAATCTACTCCATGTACATATATGTATATTTAGATACATATATGTTTAGGGGGTTCTACCAAAAATTTAATGGGGGCATTCCTAGAGTTTTAGAAAAAAATTAAGTATGTAATATAAATAAATGAAATTTGCCCCACATGGTTCCGTCCATGATGGCAATCAAGCTAAAGGAGGCTGTATGCCCTGTTTGCTTTAATGGATAACTTCTTAGTTTGCTGATGAATGCAGCTTTCATATTAGATCTAGTGGAGTTGCAAGTATATTGCTTTAAGGTTCAGTCATATAGAATATGGATTCTCCAGTAATCGCATTGCTACTCTCTGTATATTCTGCTGATCATAAATAGTCCTGTTATGTTTTTCTGCCATATCTAATCTATTATTAGGTTATATTGGTTTTAAATCACAGTATCAGGCTATATAACAGTCATGGTCAAATTGTTACAATATTGGAAATATTGGGTAAGGTGGACAATGAATTGTTGGTTATTGGTGTTGTAGTTTGTCACATTTTAATATTTGTGATTGTTTTGTCTCATTGTTATGGCACCTTGGAAGGTCTTTCCTTTTTCATTTCACTTTATATTGGCTATAAATAAGCGTACTATTTATTGTGAAGAACATTGCACTAACTAAAACAAAATAATAGATAGAAATGTAATTACAAGTCATAAATAATAAAAAAGGAAATAGTAAAAAAAAAACATTACCTCATCTATTCATGATGCAAGTCATCCTAATCATCTTAGCAAACAAAGATCCAGGTTTATTCTCAAAACATGTGTGCTATACTAAGTAAAATAACTTAAAGCTCTAGAACGAATAATGAAAAGTACTTCAGGTTACAAATCTGGTAGACCCCAATAGCTCAGATTGGAAAATCCCTCAGATATTGTCGGGTTAGGCTCCAAATCAGTAGATGCGACCTCCTTATAAAATAGTAAAGACTGCAAATGCTCAAGTAAACGAGAAAAAAATTAGGTTGCTTTGGCCAAACCTAGTTTTTTTTTTTTTGGCTGTATTGGTTGATGCTGCCATGTTTTGTTTGCACCAATAATCAGCAACCAACTTGGTAAATTCCAGGGTCATTACGTAGGAAGATATTTTGTTAAGATTGAGATCAATTTTAATTTGGAGCCATATACATGAACTTTTTTTATGATAAGTCTTATAAATGAATGACACTAATATGTTTTAACGTGTCCAAAAAGATTATATTCGGATTTAGATTAAGCTGATTTGTCTTGACTTAGGAGATATAGTGGTGCAGTGTTTATAAAAATAAGCAACTGCTACCTATTGTCGAGATGAAGAGCAGTTGATATAGTGATGGGCTAACTTGTAAGATTCAGACAGAGAGTAAAAGAGGAAGGCAGAGAATGGAGATAGGTTTCGTTATCTATTGAGTAGCTCTGTTATGTGGAAATATGTTGTTGCACTAAATTCTTATTAGTAGCGCTTTGTCGTGAATGTGGTTTGTGTGACTGGATTCAATCAAATAAGCAGAACAGCAGAGGCTGCTAAAAGGGCCAAAAAGGGGAGGAAAAAGAAATTATCTCCTTTCTTTTTCCTCTCCTGAATATTTTTGGTTGATTCTTGGCATATACTATTGCTTTCTCTGCCACATGGTATGATTGGTCTACTAGTTGCATATTGAAAGTAAACAGACTATGAATGGCTTGCTTTTTGGTTCTAGATTCACCTCAGAGTTGTCAGTTTGGCTTTCCAGCCAAATATGAACCCTACCCTGCTGTTCTGTTGTGATATTAATCATTATACTGTTGATGGAAAGGCAGATCTTCCACCTAATGGTCTTTTTTGGAGCAAGAGGAGATGGATCATACTGTTTTATCACTTGTATTTTCTAGATGTCATCATTTTTGCTATTTGTTTATCTATTTTTTTCTTACACTATTAATGCTTCTTTTGCAAATTTTTAGAAATGACTAGTTTCTTAGCTCGACAAGATTTATTGGCCTTCCAAACACCCTTTTTCTTATATGTGAGAGTTTTTTCTAATATGGAACCACTGTATTTTTTCCGTAGGCAAGCAAAATCTTTAACCGAAATAGAAGAGAGTACAAAGATATGCGATGGAGCTTTAGAAGAGCATTTCAAGTGCTAACACACCTCGAACATGGGGGACACACTTAAACCTTGTTTACAAGAATAATACTCTCATAAAACAAGAGATTAGGTTATGAAGAAAACACAGCAAAAAGTAAAAAATACATTATGAAAACAAATTACTGTTGCCAAACACACCCTTGGGTAAAGGTCAACCCAAAATCAAAGCCTAAAGAGACCCAATTTAATGGGTGAACACAACTGGATAAACAAGGAATTCTGTTCGCATGGGTTACCCGGCTCCTACCTCTTACGAGATCAGCAAAGCAGGAAAAGGAATGTCATTCGAATTTTATCATCACCATCGTCATCCTTGCCTTTATCCGGTTTGGATGGGGTCAGTCACATAATTTCATTTTTTTTCATTCTTTCCTATTATACACCATGTCTCCTCTAATATTTTATTTTTTTTATAAAATTTTTTTTTTAATTATTTCATCCCATGTAAGTTTTGTTCGGCCTCTTTTGCTTACCTTCTAGGCGAACAACCCCCTTCCTCTTCTAACGAGCGCATCTTCAGTTCTATGTTGTATATGACCACCATACCACCTAAGTCTACTTCTCTACTTCTCTTTTTCTTTTTCTTTTTATAGCAGGGGAATTGTTTTTTCCCTTTAATTTTCTTCACTTATAGAAGGGAATTTTTCCTTTGCCATCTCTGTGGAGTATGGATAATGCTAGTAGATTTATCTGATTGTTTTTGCCAGTTATAAATATCCTTCTTCTTGAAGAATTAACATTTTAGAAGTCAACTTGGATTTGTTTTTCTTATGTGTACTTTGATTTTATCAAAAAAATTTGATGAATTTTGGTCTATATATTATTGCTTACCTGTAATTGTTTGGGAATTTTGTCTTGCGAAAACAACAGATTTTGCATGATATAGACTGTGGAAAGGAGTTCATATTGTGTGAATACAACCGTGATGCTGATTCTTACAGGTAAATGGTCCACCAATTTTCCCTCCTGAAAAGTTGTAGTTAAAGTGAATGGAATTGAAGCTTAGTAACATAATCTGTCCAAAATGGTGGTCTTTTCTTTTTCCTATTTGAAACTCCAGACACCCCCACTTTGCCCCTTTGTAAATGGTCAGACAGAATAATTAGAGGGATCTCTTTCAGGTGCAAATATTCTCTCATTGAGAAAGTATGTCTTTCGTGAATGACGGTGCCCTGGTTATGTCCAAGTAGTACCATTTCTAGAACCCTTGGCAACTTCATGCTTCATTTTTCAAGAACTGAAAAATGTTTTATCCCATATATTTGATGTTAGGTACATGTATTTTTTGCATCTTGCTGCTCAAGGAACATATATTCAGTGATATACTTTGCTATTACTATGCTTTTGTTGTGTTTAGACTGAAATTTGTTTATTTCTTCTAAGTTATTTTATTATTGTTTTGGTTGTAGATCACCTTGGTCAAATAAATACCATCCACCATTGGAGGACGGACCCTTCCCATCTCCAGAGCTGAGGAAACTCGAGATTGAAGCAAACGATGTCTTTGCAATTTATCGTGACCAGTGAGGTCCTTTACTTACCTCGTCCTTTTGTTTGTTTTATAATTTCTCAAATGATTTTTGACAAAATATGAGAATTTCTTTTCCTTTATTATCCTTCAAACACGTGTTTATTTGATTTTTTAAACACATTTTAATTTGAATCTTGTAAATTTTTTAATTAAAATGACAAGTGATGTGAATTGGCTTAGATGTGAAAAACAATAGTCAATAATTTGTACTAGTTTATTTTTTTATTTTTTTTTCTGAAGAACTAGTAGCAACTTGATTAACCAATATATTGGTAGGTATTATGAAGGTGGCTTTTCCTCTGTATATATGTGGGAAGATGATAATGAAGGTTTTGTAGCTTGCTTCTTGATAAAGAAAGGTGAAACTTTTCTCTTAAATAATGGACTCAAAAGTTTTTGCATCCTTTTACTAATCTTTAATGGTTCTTGAGTATGTAGATGGCTCAAAGTCGGGACAAGGCAGAAGAGGTTATCTGCAGGAGGGAGCATGGGATGCCATACATGTTATTGAGGTAGACTTCATCTTCCAAAGACGCAGAGAGTATAAATGTAGAACGTGGATCCCATTCTCCTCACCCCTTCCCTGCTTTTTCCCACTTTTCTTTCCAAGTATATTTTGGCATTCATTCTTTATTGATTGTTTAGGTGGGACCTGATGAGGAAGGAACAGCACATTACTGTCTAACCAGTACTGTCATGCTGTCGTTGACTACAGATAATGAGTTGTCAGGCACATTTAATTTGTCCGGATCAATTAGAAGACAGGTAACTCTTTCCCTATACGATTTTAGTACTTCGAAATTTTATCAGAAAAGTAAGAGAAGCACAACTTAGAAACATGTTGTTTCATGCTGATTAAGTGTAGGATTTTCTCAACTTACCTTTAACTGGAAAAAAAATGGTGTAGGTTTTTCTGAATACTAGATTAAATATGGATAAACAATTATTTATTTGAAGAATTCTATAAAAAGGCACGGTTGGGAACTAATAGGAAAAAAAATCCATATTTGCCACTGAGTTTAAACTTCTTCAGCATGAATGAGCCTTAAACCATAATAGATATGCTTTGGACCTTGGTTAAGTGCATGTTTTTGGTACCTATTTTATTTACTATGTGGTGAAAATGGCAAAATTTGAAGGGTAAATTGAAGATTGAGTCCATATATATATATGGGGATTTATCAGAAGTAATCAAACTAATCTCGTGTGGGTCATATTTATATATGACCCCCCTTGTGCAAGAGAGGCATTGCCCTTGCATCCTTGTTTGCAGTACCTATATCAGTAGCTGGAATCACCACTTTCATCGCCTTTGGAATATTGTCGCTGATACCTTTTTAATTTTTATAGTTAATGGGATCTTTTTCTTTTGGAAGTAATTAATAATGATAGTTGATGCCTTATTACTGATGAATGATCATCTTTTTTAATCTTTTTCAATAGTATTGTGCTGGCTACCACCCATTGCAACTTTGACGTAGCTTGGGATAGGTGATGCAGGGGAATTAGCTCACAATTGTGCTTATTGATGTTGTTGACAGGATATATTATCGATGCACTAATGTTTTTCTAAGTGAAATTATATATACCACTCTGTGAACTCCGCACAACACTTCTTGGCAGGTTTTATCTAATCAGTTATCTGCATAAGCAGCCTAGTTAGAGAAACTCAATACAATCCATAGATCAACCTCATAAAGCATAAAGCCTTCCAGCTATCTTGATTTGCTTATGACAATCCCTTTAATCATTCAGCTCGTGTCGTGTCGTGACAATATTTTAAATTGGCCATCATGTTTATTTTTGCCACCTTGTGCGACTTTTCTTTTGGCAGTCCATTATTTTTTATAAATAAAATTACGTACTTTTTTTCTTATAAAAAAATATATATAGAGAGACCTTGTATTTATCTTTAGTTAGTGTTGCCCATAGCTTATTACATTTGATTTGAAGTTTATTTTAGGAAGTGCCAACATGGTGTCTCTTCTCTGATGCATCTTTCTGATTTTATAAATTCCACTAATTACAGTCCCAATTATTTGAACTGTAACTAATGAGTAATTGCATATATTTACTGATTTATATTGGTTAGATGCTCAAGTCTAACAATTTATAATATTCTGAAATCTCTAGTAACAGCTTAATGTTGGTTTTATGATGTGCTTTTCTATTCCCTTTTCTGCCGGACAGATGAATATGGATCTCACTGTGGCAGAGGGTCATCTATGTAACATGGGAAGGATGATTGAAGAAATGGAGGGGAAGCTGAGAAACTCACTGGATCAGGTATTGTGGTTTATATTCTAGTATAATCTCATTTCGGTTTTGGTTTTGGTTTTGTTACTACATGTATGCATGTATGTATATCGACGACACATTTCCTTCTTTTTTTGGGGCTTTCAAATCAAAATGATTTTTCGAATAGAATTGAGTTCGGAAATCGACATGAAATTGCAGGTATACTTTGGGAAGACAAAAGAGATGGTTTGTACTTTGCGACCACCGTCTGAACTGGTGCAAATGAGACTACCGGATAGCTAATGTGTGCATCTCTTGGGCCCTATTAAGTGAGAAATGTACAAGATTGATTTGTCTCATATTTATCAGCATTCCTTGAGACTACTGAAGCATACATTTTCCGATATTTATTGTCTTTGTATTAAGTTCAAGAAATTAGGGAAATTTTAGACTTCCATTGGTTCTGATTCGTTTTATGAATTATACTTTTTTACGCAGCACTCTCTCTCTCTCTATATATATATTTCTTGACCACGGTATAATAGATGAATTATCAATTTATCAAAGATAGTTTATATATATATATATATATATATATATATATGTACAATAGAAAAAGAATAACACCAAATTCTCATTAACTATTCAACATGTAGTAACCAAAACAGTAGCCACGTGAATCGTTTGATATCAGCCTGATTCCGTTCCTTTGAGTTTGTTCTATTTATCACTAAATTTATTTGGTTGGCCAATCGGGCTCGACTAAAATATCGATCATGGATAAAAAAGATCACAGTGTTATATATACATGCCTATAATGCATCCATGTATGTAGGCAAATAAAAAGCAGCTCATTAAGGCTCGTAATTGTTTTTTCCAAATAAAATATTATATTTTTTTTATTTTTTCGATGTTTGACAGGTTGAGATTGAGGACGAGTTTACGGGTGATCACCAAATATCAAAATATAATGCAGCAGAAATCTACATGACAAAAGGTCGAGGTTCAGTTGAGAGAGGCGGGTATAGACAGTACCGGGGGGACTTGGATGGTGAAGAGAGGCTCATTGCAAACTCACTCCCGTCAAAGAAAGGGTACGGGCCAGCTTAAGCCCTTAAGCTCTGTTTTCTTGCTGCTCTGACAAGCCAGCTAAACCTCCACGAATCATCTGGTTCATGAAGAACCTTTATATGAGTGCGCACTCACCACCCGACCCAATACAGTGACCATCCATTCACTGCACCGGACTGTACCCAACTTCCACAAACTTTCCAACGCCTTAATGCTCCCACTTGGGTTATAGGCTCACGTAACTAAGCCCAGCAACGTGGCGGTTCAACTCATATTTTTATAAAGACAAAATTTGTTCCATAATATTCCGATGTGGGAAATCAAAGGTATTTAGTATTTCTATTGTTTCCCTCCTCGTCTCATCAAGATCCTTATACGCCTAAAACAAGGTTCTATTTTATGATCGCTACCACTCAAGTCCCTATTTCACCTATTGAGTTTTGGTGTATTAGATCACTAAAGATTGGGAGATTTTGGATTGAATTTGGAGGCCATTCGGGAGTTCATTTACGCTTGGAGAAAGTATTAACACCCCTTGGGGTACTAACACCCCAAGACGCCTGCACCAAGTACAACTACTGATACTCCGTGCTGAACTCCATTCCCATTCATACGATTGTGCAATGATCACTTTGGACTTTTTGAGAACTTCATATACACACAATAGCTACTTTGGACTCTCATATGGTTTGGGAACGAAGTCCAAACGCGCACAATTTCCTATGGTTTGGGAACGAAGTTCGAGAACACAATTTCCTACGGACTCTTGTATGGTTTGAGAACTCCAAACACGCACAATCGTCTGCCACGTGCATCACTTAAATTCCGACTTCGTACTCGTCAAAATCGAACAAGCTATCTGCCTAAAGAGACTTCACATTCGGTGAGATTCAAACCAGTAACCTAGACTACTCCCATGACCAATGTTAAAGAACATCGTGCCTTTTAAAACTAGAAACATGAATCTCCAAAAAAAACATTTTCTATGCTGTAAACACATGAATATAAGTTAAATAACAACAAAGCAACCTTTCCTAAAACGGATTCAGAATATCTGAAAATGTATAGTGCACATAACAAGGTAAAATTCATGGACAAACACAAGGCAGAATTGTAACAGATCTTAAAGCATATTTAAAGAGCTTCGATCCTAAAATGTGGACAATACGAAACACTAAAAAACTGGAGCAACCTCATAAAACTCATTCAAGGGCAGATGTACCCTTTTCCTCTCATCATAACATTCATAAACAAAGTGAAAATAGTATTATCCGAAGAGTTCGAAACGAGATGTATGTATGAAAGAAAGCTTTAGGCCTTTGTCTCGGCTTCAGCACTAGCGGGTGGTGCGGCTTCTGCATTCTACTCTTCAGTCTCACTGTCATCATTTTCTGCAAGGACAAAGTCGGCAAATGATTTAAAATGAAACAAGCAACTTCACTTCTTGTATTTCAATGACTAAAACATAGAATCAGCTTATAGAGGACGCCCATGATTGTATGAATATTAAGATCTACCTTCATCCTTGAAGGCAGCATCATCGTTCTCGAAATCTCCAGCGCCACCCATGTTGAGTTTCTGCAAGAAAACAGAGAGAGCTAATGATATATGCAAACATTTTATTCAGATTATGCGCATTTACGTGACGATTTTGCGACTTACCGAAAAATCGAAATCGCCATCTTCAAAGTCCATACCAGCTCCAACTGAAATATTAAAAATGTCAATTTTTTACCTTATATTACAATGACAGAGATCAGCAACTTGACAGGGACAGGAAGCAGAGAACTTACCCTTGCTGTCCTGCTCCTCATCTTCATCAACCCATTTGTCCCAATCAACTTTCAAAAAAAGAGGTGGTTTTCCCTCCTGCTTAATCAATCTGCTCCACCATTTACTCTCTGCCTTCTTTATAAGGTAGCAGATGTTTCTCAAGCCAATATTAGCCTTGCTCTCCTGCAATCGTCAATTTTTATACACCTATAATTTATGAAATGCAAATGACTACCAAGAAAAATGAATAATGTCCGTGGTACCTACATTTACATCAACCTTGTCAAAAAGGTCAATATCTATTTCATAAGGCACGCTATCTGCTCCGCTGGTAGCAGAAAAGAAGAATTTGCCCTCGGGCTCCAGTTTCAGTTTCACATCCTTGGCATCGGGCAAGTCAATTGTAATGTACAACTTGTCAGACCTCTGAGCCCACTTTACTGTAGGGTGTCGGCTGAACATTGTACATTTAAAAAGAAATTAAATAGAGGAAATTAAAAATTGAACCAACATAAAGAAGTTACATTTAGTTGGGAAAAGGTTTCGTTGTTGTTGTTGTTGTTGTATAAAGAAGTTACATTTCATAGTAAAACAGGAATCAAGATTTTGAAGTTCAACTTTAAACGTGAGATTTAACAGCCACGGCTCTAAAACATATTAGTCACCTGTAACCAGCATTGTAATATATAAAATAAAGGTAAATGCTGTAAATTAAATCAACAAACAGCTGCATTCGCTACCCCCATGGATTTCACAAATAGAATGCCACTTAATTTCTTACCAATATTTCCATGAATCACAAGAATTAAATGTTGCAAGATCCTCCATGTTAAGTATCAATCCATCCATAGTTTCACAATATTATGATGACCTATGAACTACAAAATTCAAAATGAGAAGCACAGACACCTTTAATGACGAACTGTCTCCATATCGAATGAGTGCCAGATAGAGGACCAACTCCCCCTTAAGGCGATTAAGGTAGTTGCCTGAGACTCCACATCAAACAAAAAGGCCCCATCAAATTTCCTATGTAGGACCCATTAAACTAATTGTAGGTTCCCTTTTTCCTTGTGTGGACTCCAACTACATTTGGCAGATGTAATATACAACACACATAATTATGCAAAATCACTATGACACATTCCATTTGCTTCTTTATTTTTCTTCTCTCTCTCTCACAGTTTCTCTTATCTTTGGAACATCCTCTCACTTCTTTCCTTCACATGAGCCTAATCCACTCAACACAAGATTCCTTCTACCATAGAATTAATTAATATTGTTTACATGAAAATATCAAAAATCAAAAAGTTTCTATAGTTCTCACCTTAAGCCTCAGACTTTATCAAGTCAACGATGAATAACTGAACACCAAATGCCTCTTGGACAACAATGACTTAGGACAAGTGCATAATTTGAAAAAAAAAAAAAAAAAAAAAAATTTGTGTATAAAATGACAAACATTTCTTGTAAGCATATGCGGAGTGCTCAGATAGGAGTGGAAATAGATGTAATTGTTGGCATTAAAATGCATAGTTGATTGCTTTCAGACTTGGACATATCTTCATGCATTAAAACAAGGCCCTTATCTCATGCTTTACTAAAACAAGGTTGGTTCCGCAAGAGAAACAAACTAGAAGAATGCCAGTTTGGTCAATAGTCCGGATTACTGGATTAGCTAAAGAGACATGATTTAAGTTGGAAAATATTGCTATCAGTAAGGTAGATGACTTAAGGATGCAAAGTACAATTAAGAGAACTGATAACTGGCAGGAACCGGAGTGGCCTTAGGTTAAGGAGCAAAGAACCAATGATTATATTGTACGTGTGTTTCAGAAGTCAAACATATCACATATGCATAAATTACACACACCAACAAAAGAACACAATTACACAACTATAATAAAACTAGGTTTTGTCAATTCAGTTATCAGGCTAGCTAAATAAACTTATTTAACAACCATATCTCAAATTAAGTGAGATGGATGTATTCTTAGGTTCAGGCTCTAGATTCTTAAGTTGGTTCATGTTAATGTGAACCATGTCAAAGTCGGGCAAAGTTACCACCTCAAGCCTATTGAATCAACCTGGCCATGTTTAAAGTAATCCAGGCCAAGTTGGCGAGCTAAATAGTAATTTCAATTTTCAACCATGTGAATGATTATGTGGCAACTGTGGGGAAATAATCACTCAAAACTAAGTTCACAACCTCCATTAATCCATATAATTTATAAAAAAAATACATATATATATATATATATATATATATATCACAAAAACCAACATATCTAATTACGCGATATCTCAATAACATCAAATATATTGGTTGTCTTAACCTTGCATGTAAATTATTGCTCAAAATAATTAAATAACCACATGCCATCACCTCACATTTCACTAAACCCAATGTCTCGTATCTCATTCACCTTGTAATCTATACATTTTTCTATTTTAGAAGTACTTGTAATCTATACATTTAAAACAAAACAACTGGTAACCTTTAAACCACTCGGCACAAAATTCCAATTCAATACAAGGCCGCAAATATAGAAATTATTTCGACATCGTTACAAGTATAAATAGGCCAATCAACACGCATAAAGGTCTCTCCCTCTCTAAATACCTAAACATATACACACAGTTCTAACCATCCATAAAATTCAAAAAATTGATCTTTCAACTCAAGTTATACCTTCCATATTTCAATTTTTTTTTTTGGGTTCAATGAATCAAATCAACAACAAACTACAGATTAAAACCCTACAATTCTTTCTCTCTGTGTATGATTTATGTATTTATTAATGACACTCACACACCAATTCTGGAACAGAAGTTAAAACCCTAAAGTTAACCCCCTGTGACCTGTATGATCCTCCAGAACAAAAATAAAATAACAAAAAAACAAAAACAAGTTAGTTTCAATTAATACAAAACCCTAGGGTTTGGCCGCTACCAGAGACATAGAGACCGAAAAAAAATAATAATAAGAGCGAACAAAGTGCAATAAAAAAATGTTTGAAATAAAATGAAGAGATTCAAATGAGAAAGCAAATATAAGAAATCTGATCACATCTATATATACACTATATATATATACACACACAGACATATACTTATACATACATATACATATATTTTGAGTACATGTAAGTGCAAGGAGAGAGAACCTCATCTTCTTCTTCGTCGAGATTGGTGTGTCCTTCACAGTCTTTAGCGCTCTCGCTCTTCTTTGCTCGCCGTGATACAGTACTATATGGCGGTTGTGTGCTTATATATGTATATATATATATATAGAGTTTTTAATTACCAAAAAAACTGCGAGAAATGTCTAGATGTTTCCGTCTCGGCGCCGCGATAAGCATGATATAACGGAGTACATAATTTATACGGAGTTTTTGTGTGCGTAATGTGTATATCAATCATTTATAATTGGATATATAAAGTTTATTAATTAAAAATGAAAAAAATATTAATTTATAGAATTAGTCCATTAAATACTAATTTTAATTTACCATGTGTATTATTAATGAAAGTTTGAGTGAAAACTTCTACATTTTTTTAATTGAGGTAGTAAAGAAATTTTTTTATATTGAAGACTGAAATATTTATAATGTAAAAATATTTATTCGTACAAATTTATTAAGAATATTTTGGAAATTTTATAAATAAATAAAATAGTTAAAATTAACAATGAAGAGATAATTTGTTACAAATTTTCAAATTATATGAATTTATATGGATTTAAGAATATTTCTTATCTAATCAGTTGATAATGAATTAGTGATTAATTGAGAAATGTTATTGCTAACATTTCAACTTTGTATGCTTCAATTGTTTTTATCTTCTAAAACGAAAAAAAATAAAAAAATAAAATATTTTTATTAATTTGATTAAAAAAAAACCTTTATCAATATATTCTTCTTCTACACCTCCTCATAGTTAAGATTTTCATTAAAAATATTAATTTAAAAAAAGACATAAGTTTAGTCAGTCTAATTAGATCAAACAATTATTCAAATTAAGAATATGATTACAAATTATTTTAAAAAATGATCTTACACTCTACTTTTAAATAATAATTTATTTTATTTATTAAAACAATAAAGTTGAGAGAAAGTGTACTGAAATAAAGTGTCATCTTATTTGTCTAATTCTTTTCATTTGAAATATAAATTTTATATTTAAGCTAGAGAAAAATATTAGAAAACATTTTTCTTTATTTAATTATCTTTTTCCTTTCCTTCAGTTTTTCATGCCCCTTCCCTTGGTAAGTTGGTATGGCCTCTGAGTCGTCTCTCTCATCGCATGGCCTTCGTCGACTCACTCTTACGGAAATGCACTTCTCTCTCACACATCAAACAGCTTCAGGCACACCTCATCATCACCGGTCTCTTCCGATTCTACCCTTCTCGCTCCAAGCTCCTCGACTTCTGCGCCACCTCCTCCGCCGGCAGCCTCCCCTACGCCACCGCCGTCTTCCTCCGAATCCAATCTCCGGCCACCAACGACTGGAACGCCATCATTCGCGGCATGGCCCAAAGCGACCAACCCACGGATGCCATCGCGTGCTACCGCACCATGTCACGTGAATCGTCCTACAAGCCCGACGCTCTTACTTGTTCGTTCGCACTCAAGGCCTGCGCTCGAACTCTGGCTCGCTCTGAGGCAATGCAGATTCACTCACAGGTGATACGGTTTGGGGTTGAAGCTGATGTGCTGTTACAGACAACGGTGTTGGATGTGTATGCGAAGTCGGGTGATTTGGACAATGCCCAGAAGATGTTCGATGAAATGTCAATTAGAGATATTGCCAGTTGGAACGCTTTGATTGCTGGGTTGGCTCAGGGAAGTCGACCCAGTGAAGCTTTGGAGCTCTTTAAGAGAATGAGAGTAGAGGGTTTGAGGCCTAATGAAATTACTGTGCTCGGCGCTCTCTCAGCTTGCTCACAATTGGGTGCAATAAGAGAGGGCGAAAAGATATGTAATTACATTAGAAATGAGAAGCTAGATACGAATGTGCAAGTTTGTAACGCGGTAATTGATATGTATGCAAAATGTGGGTTTGTGGATAAAGCTTACCATGCTTTTGAGGGTATGAGTTGCAGGAAGAGTCTTGTTACTTGGAATACGATGATCATGGCACTGGCAATGCACGGTGATGGAGTTGCAGCGCTCGAGCTTTTCGAGCAAATGGGACGAGCTGGGGTGTCCCCTGATGGTGTGAGTTTCCTTGGAGCCCTATGTGCGTGTAATCACGCAGGGCTAGTGGAAGATGGGGTGAAGTTGTTTGATTCGATGGCAGGGTGTGGAGTGAGTCCTAATGTGAAGCATTATGGTAGCGTGGTTGATTTATTGGGTAGAGCGGGGCGGCTTGAGGAAGCTTTTGGAATTGTAAATTCAATGCCTATGGTACCTGATGTAGTACTTTGGCAAACTCTGCTAGGTGCATGCAAAACTTATGGGAATGTCGAAATGGCTGAACAAGCATCAAGGAGGCTTGTGGAGATGGGTTCGAGTAGTTGTGGGGATTTTGTGTTGTTGTCAAATGTTTATGCAGCACACAAGAGATGGGACGACGTAGGTAGGGTGAGGGAGGCAATGAAGAATAGAGACGTGAGGAAGGTGCCGGGGTTTAGCTATATTGAAGTGGATGGTGTGATACACAAGTTTGTCAATGGTGATCAGAGCCATTCGAATTGGAGGGAAATTTATAGGAAGCTTGATGAGATTAGGTTTAGGATTGAAGCATATGGCTATGTGCCTGAGACTGATTATGTGCTGCATGATATAGGACAGGAGGATAAGGAAAATGCATTGTGCCATCATAGTGAAAAGCTGGCCGTGGCTTTTGGTTTGATTAGCACCAGTGAGGGGACTCCAATTCAAGTGATTAAGAATCTCAGGATATGTGGAGATTGTCATGCTGTGATTAAGCTCATATCAAAGATTTACTCTCGAGAAATTATTGTAAGAGATCGTGCTAGGTTTCACAGGTTCAAAGAAGGAAACTGTTCATGCAGAGATTATTGGTGAATTAATACTATTATTTATTTGATGTATCATTACAAAGAAATTGTGGAAAAGATAATTGTTATCATGTAGGAACATTTGTTCTATTCAAAATTAAGCACGAATACACAATTTTGGCCACTGCGGGCTCCTCTTAACTCTATCAACTGCTAGTTGCAGAGCAGAACAGTGTGCTTCAAGATTGTTTAAATCTGTTGACACCAACACTTACAGGACATTTTACGGCGTGCTGACACTGATGCTTTCACCTGGTCTATCAATCATTGTGTAACTGCAGACAAGGGTTTTCTACTGTAATTCGCTCAGAGTCATTGGTGGCCTAAGTAATGGAGCATAGCCTGCTTCAAACGCTTTCCTTCAAGTGTGTTAAAGAAGGCAGCCTGTGCATGCTGCTCTGGAAACGGCAGTCTAGTTGCCGGGTGCTTCAAGATTACTTTGGAACTCATTAGGGCAGAAAAATACTCCTTTTACATAGACTCAGATGTAATTAAGGAGAAAACATCATTTTGTTTGTTGAGAAAGGGGAAGCGAGACAAGCACGAGTTGACAGAGCTCTGTGTCTGGGAAATGATTGGCTTTCTGAAGGATGCATCTTGGTTAAACAAATAGAGTTGTTACATAGAATATTCCAATTACACTTGAGAAATAAAAAGTTATCAGTGCATTCCAAAATATGGTACACTCGGAACAGCTCATTAAACATTATTTGCAATTACATTATCCTAAGCAACATAAATCAAAATATTCAAATACACTAATGTCATCTTGCCAGAACACATACATAAAATGTATACTGCACAATGCATAACTCATGGGTAACAAACTTACAACCCACTGGGTCGGTTGATAAAATTAATGTAACAAAGTAAACGGAAAAACAATAATTAAATGCAAATCGAAAGAAAATGAACAATTTGAATCTCCGCAGCAAACTCAACTCCAGGTAGGAAACGGAAGCCCCAAAATAGAATTCTATCACAGCTTCTCTAAGAGTGGCAAAACCTCAACTGAAAAGTAATCATACAATGACGACTAGAAATGTTACACATAGAAATGGTCAAATGCAACTAGTCTTTCACTAGTCTTGCCTCAAAACCTCCTTCAGGTCGCTTCACGAGAATGTAAGGCATGTGGGTTCCAAGAAGCTTATCCCAGATAGGAAAGAAAGGTTGTGAATAGTTGAACTTTGTCCCTTGGAGTTGATGATGAATATCGTGATAAGCAGTATTGTTTTGGAAAAATAGATGGAAGATGTTCCCAGGCAACCAGAGTCCACAGTGATCATCAACTGTTTTTATCACAGCGAAGCAGAAGAAAATCACAGCCGTCCGTGCAGTCATTCCTGAGACAAGGAAAGAGATGGCCCCACCAAAAGTGTCTAGCAGGAGACCCTCAAGCGGATGATTGTAGAGGGCTCCAATTGCATAAGGGACGACTAACCTATGATGCTGTGAGTGGATGTGACGATACAAAAATTTGTTCTGGTGCATGTAGCGGTGCACAAAGTACTGCCATGTGTCCATGACGAGCATTGCAACGACAATCTGCGCAATTAGGACAGGAAGGGATGGCTGAACTGCGATTCCTGATGAACTTAGCTTTGAGGTAAACTGCAGCAAAAAATGAAGAGGATTTGGTCTTAAATGTATAGAAATGATTTGGTAGTGTAAAAGACCATAAACGTCCAATATCCTATAATGAGCCACATAATACCATCCTTCAACTTAGCATCATTAGGATCATTTTTTCCCAGCATAAGAAACCAGAATATATTATTAAGTAAAAAGAAATACAAATACCACCAAACATTAGAATGAGGAGCGTCTCCTTCACCTCCCACAAAGAGGAGGTTGAGGGTTCAAGTCAGAATTGGAACGAAGTGAGTGTGTCATACCTTCAAAAGAGAGAGGAAAAAATAAAAAATAAAAATAGTATGTCAAAGGATGAGATATCGTTGACACAAATAGGACTATATAAGAAAAAATTATGAGTAGAGGCCTCTTAAACTCTCTCCGCAACTTCTAGCATGGTAAAATGACCTCCAAAGATGTTATTAGTGATGGCCCCTCCCTTTGTTAAGAAATCTGCAACTCTCTCTACAACCTCAAGGAGGGTAAAGACACCTCTAAGTCTCTCTCCATAAACTTCAAGAAGGGTAAAAAGACCTCTAAAAGATGTTAAAGTAGTGGCACACTATTTGTTAAGAAATCTGCCTCATTTGCTGATATTGCAACCCAACTACTCTTCATTTGTAGAATAGAAGATAAGTCCTAAAATTCTCTCATATTTAAGCCAATCAACGTCATTAGCATAATAAAAGCTAGCGTCCACCCAAAAATCATCCAACAAGATTAATTACTCACATATTTTTGTTGTTTAGCTTATCATTAGGGCCTTAGCAATTACAGTATTAGTTGTAAGATAGAGCAAAAGAAACAGGAAGAAGTCCAGATATTCAAACTACAATGTCCCTAACTACTAGAGCAATATTAAGAACTAGAGTCGTCTTTTTTTTTTTTCCCTCATTTTTATCAGGGGCAATGGGAATGCAGGTCCCCACTACAATAAATTATGACATAGGCTCTGCCACTTGGGCAGACCTTAGGCCACGCCCCTCGCAAGTACAATGGAGGTTGCCACCCTAGACCATGGGCTTTCTTGATCACCCATCGACCCTGTCTAGGTAAGTACGTTCAAGACTAGACTTCCTTTCCTAAACTCAGAAGTTATGTATCGAATCCCCAATTCTAACTTGATACCATTCAGTATGCATGGGAGCAAACAGACAGAATAATTTCCATAGCAGGAGGTATAAATGTAGGATCATAATAGCATAATATGCTTGAGAAGGATGTAATAAAATATCATGGTAAAGAGATAAGGATATAACGTGCTAACTTCCTATTTGTCCTCTTTTACCAAGAGGAAGGAGATGCATATTCCTCTGCTATCATTTGGAAGCTTCAATGTAATCTTGAGCATAGTTTCGCATGCAACTTTTTGCAGATTATTTTTGCGCGTCTTAATACCCCTTTATACCAAGAAATTAGAACGCAATTTCATCATGCCTGAAAGGGACCTATCTTACAGAAACAAGGTGTAACAGACCAGAAACTTTTCTTCTTTTTATCTTCAAGCCCAAGAAAAAGGATGAACTGACAGTATACAATAGTAGGAATGAGTAAAGTGGATTGCTCGCATATGAAAAAAAGAAAGCACAGGTCCCTCAGTCATCTTCCTAGGTCCTATGATTAGAAAAGAGTGGAAAAAGAGAATCCATGTGGCCAACCCCATTTGTACGGGATAAGGCAAGGATTATGATATAATGTCTACTTACTGGTCCCTCAATCATCTTGCAGAAAATCTACAATATCAACAACCACAACCTTCAACAACCACCCCCCCAAAAAAAAAAAAAAAAGAAGAAGAAAAAAGGACAAATGAATATATAAAGAGAAAATCATTCTTTGATAGGTGAAAATAGCAATCACTCCAAAAAAAAGAAGAAAATTAAAAAAAATTCAAGAGGATAGGGATTACAATAGCAATAACAGCAATTAAGGACAGAATGAAGATTGGTGGCCAGAGTTTAAGGTTGTGTTATAATATGCTGAGAGCATGAGGCAAGCCAAGAATTTTCTTCATATGAATAAATAAAATTTTATAAGAAAACAAGGATGGGTTAAGCTCATGTACACTCAGAAATGCACATATAAGTAGCTAAAATCACAAAGGGAAGTCCTTTTGTGTTTAAAATCCTTAAACAAGAATCCCTAACCAAATTCCTTCCCCCGAAATCCAAATAAAGATTCAAAGTAGCAATTGGAATTTTTTTTTTTTATGTCCATGGATTCTTCAGTTTATCCTTCCAAACGCTCCAAAGGAAAGGAAGGGGTTCCCTTTCCAAACATCTGTGAAATACCTTCTTCATCAAACTCACTATCCTGAGAGAAACTTGATGGTCAAATTAGGTATAGGCAACTGAAGCCTAGAAAACTCCATAGAAACTTGATGGTCAAATTAGGTATAGGCAACTGAAGCCTAGAAAACTCCATCAAGCCCCACAATACATAGCGATGCAAAATAAATGGTCAGACTAATCCCCTACCGTTGCACATAACGCCCTACTTGTAATATAACAATTCCTTTTTCAAATGATCAATTGAAAAACACTTGTCCCTTGCATCATGTTGGACAAAGATTGTCAATTTATTGCAACTGTTGTCACTAGGACCCTTTGTGATGAAAGAGTCCCCTTCCCTTCCATTGGCATCTCAAATAAGATTTAACCAACATTCAGCAAGAACCCAAAAACCCAGTAGCATTTCATCGTTGAACAACCAAACATTCATATTTTGGCTTGTGTTGTTTAGCTGAACTCAAGCAAGTTCACAAAATTACTCAAACCATGTGTTAGCATGAAATCCAACTTAGCCCTAAAAGGACAACCAACTATACTAAATTCCTACAATTTTTTTTAATTTTTTTTTTATAAGTATGTATTCATTAAAGAGCACCCAGAAGGGGAGTGCAGCCCAAAACAAGTTGCACAAAAGCCTACATCCTCGAGCTATCCACAAAATTCAAAGAATCTCCACATATTTACAATTAAAGCCCTAGACCCAACAGAACACCGTCCAAGGAAACTCCACCCCATAAAAGGATCTCCTATTTCTCTCTCTCTCTCTCTCCATAAGGCCCACCACAGACAAAGTGGGGGTAGCCCTCCATGCATTTCTGACTTGGAAATGCACTCGGCATTTGTCCCAAGCGTCAATCAAGCACCTCGTGGACTTTGGCATGACCCACTAGATCTCAAAGATGGCACACCACAAATCCCACCCATTCCTTGTCCTAGGGCAATGGAGAAGAAGTATATCTACCGTCTCCTCATCCCTTTTGCACCATACAACACCAATTGACAATAATCTGACACCGCCTTCTCAGATTCAAAATCCTCCCCAATGTTGTTGTCCAAACAAAAAAGGCCACCTTCAAGGGGACTTTTGAGCGTCAAATTCCTTTCCACGGAAAGGATGTCCCCTGAGCATCCATCAGCTAGCAATATAAAGACTGAACCTCAAATCTCTCCTGGCTCGAACCCATCCACATCCACTCATCCATCCACTCCCAGAGATAGTGTGGCAACTCAACCATATCCTCTAACCCCCAATCAAGCAAAAGCCTCTTAAACTGCATGTCCTAGGTCAACCTCCAGCCAAATGATAGCAGTAAGCGACCAACACATGCCCATCCATAGCAATCCTCTCACCACACCAAGAATCCTCCCAAAAACTAATAAGGCGCCTGTCCTAAATTCCTACAATGTTAAGGATCATGACCCAATAGTGTGGTCCCCTTTAACAATGGATGCGAGGGGGATAGAGTCGATAGACTGAAATGGAATACAGACCTAATATCCACATTTGAACCTACATTCTCACATTTGATAGTTGATGTTTGACCACTTTACCAAGTAATGCCCCTAAAATATCTAAAATGTTGCTAATTAGAATTTAAATAACATAGAATAGCATTTCAATAAACGTTCAATATGTTTAGTTCCCTTCCATGTCCTCTAGCACAATTACAATTGGGAAATTCTAATACACCTTTTAGCTTACCTAGACATGACCACTTTTGAAACAATCAATGATTCATGTCATCTTTATGGTGATTTATGTGTGTACGGTTTTTTTTTTTTTTTTTTTTTTTCCATGTGTACTCTAACCATATATATGTTATTGTTGTGACTTACACCACTATGAGTGAAAAACTCTATGTAGACAAGGCTGAAGAGAAGACCGTTAAATTTCCAATAAACAAATTATTATAAATATTTTCCTTCCTGAAATAGAAGCACTTGGAGTTTCTTTGAACATCATGTAACTTTGTTTAGATCTACAACTCAAAAAATCAAATCTTTTAAACTGTGTTCACTGCCAATCTCAAACCTCAAGTCGGAGAATCAAGAGCAAATCCATATCCAGTCCTATTTTAATCCAGTAAGGTCCTTGTCAAGCCCTAGCTGCCATGTAGTTGGGGCCAGAATTCCATGACATGCTCACGACTCAGTGCTCACCTACCTACATATAATTTTTTTTCCAAATGTATATGGATCTTCAGGGTTAGACTTGGGTCATGACAAGCCATCTTAGATAACTGCACACTGCAGTGTAGACAATCATCTCATTATTTTCAACTTTTTTTTAGTTATTTATCCCCTTATACTTTCTTTATACACGTGTAAAATGGATATGTGCCAATATGGGCAATTTCGATCCAACATAACTCAAATTTAGCACTCTCATGCTAGTCCTTGCAACTCTTGCTATATGCTAAGCATTAATAGATTGTAAACAATATAAGGAGGTGTGGTGGATAATACAGGCCCTAGCAACAACATGGTTACAGTAACTAAGCCTTAATCACCATCCTAGTCTTTTCAAAGAAAACCTAGGTCGGAGAAATAGAGCCCATTTTAATGGAAACCCACTCATAACAAAAAACTGGGTGAAATGTAATCAGCTCGTTACCTACATTTTGAAAATCACAATTCCATTCCTCAAACAAGTCCTCTACCATACTCCACCACTGATGGAGTCATTCTACATATCTTCAAAAGTCCCCAGCAAACACCAGTAGAAAGGACACATCCCTACAATTAAGTGACACTATCCATCAAATATGCAAAAACCCAAAAAGACCTTCTCCCAACCCCTGGCGCCCAAAAGAACAGTTACACATACACAGCAAACAATTGTACTAAAACTGGTAAACACAAATCAACATGTACATTCACTCACATATACAAATGTGTATTTTTTAGATTCTGAAGGGCATAATTTGGTAGCTGATAATAGCCGATAGTCCATGACAGGTTACCAACTTCCCTGCAGTTTCTATACATTTCTCAAGTCCAGATAAACCAATTTCAAAATCAAGAATATATTACACAAATTGAACTAATCAAACTTTTGGACAACTATACATTTCCCAAGTCCAGATAAACCCAGTTCAAAATCAAGCATATATTACACAAATTGAACTAACCCAGTTCAAAATCAAGCCTAAACTACCAAATTCAACTAATTAAATCTTTGCACATTACCATCTATCATCAAAAACAAAATTAAAAACAATGCACAATGATAATACTAATAATGATAAATAGAATGAGGGTTTAAGAACTGACCAAGAACAATGCCTGGGCAACAGTGGCCTGGACAAGCTGTTGAAGCAACACGCCCTTAATAACCGACCACAGTGGCACCGTGTTCTTCTCTTCCTCTTCCTTTCTGGTGTGCAGACGGTACTTGTCTAGAGGCGGTAACAGCTGATAAAACCCAGCGTACAACCAGTACACTACAATTGGGGCAAATGTGCCCATCGATTCATCGCTCACATAGCCTTCCCAAAACACCATTTTTCAACCAAACAAATCAGAAACACCTCAAATTTCGAACCCTGATTGGATAGAGAAGTCAAATGAAGATCAGAACTTTACATACATACATATATATATATATAAGCAAATTGAGCTCTGAAATGGGAATGAGTGAGTTGCTTATAATGTGTTCAATCAGATCTAGCTAAGCCATTTCGAACGAACAAATCAGGGCATCGATACATATATACGTATGTATATACGTATATACATATCGAATCTCAGCGTTGGTGACAGTTGTGAGGCTTCTGAGATTCGTTTAAAAACCGATCTTTATTAGTGGGGTGGGAGAGGGGGATAGAAAAATGATTTTTATTTTTTATTTTTATTTTGGGAAAAAATGGTTGTTAAAGGTGGATCTGATATTTTTAGATAAATTGTGTTTCATTCGATAGTATGTGGGTCCAGTTATAGTATATGTTTGTTGTCTTTCCCCACTCGTGACAATCCAATTGACCATCTTCTTTGTGTGTGACAAAGGGTCTCCTTCGAGCCAATTCGGTTCGTCAAATCAACTTAGGTTTTGGAAAGTGTTTCCAACCTTAATAATGTATTTCAATCGGTGCTGATCAGTTGTTTAAAAATATTTTTATTCAATCATGAGATGTTGATCAGTTAAAATTACATTATATGTGTTGTTTTTAAGACTTCTATTTAAAATGAGAGTCATAATTAGCATGCGACTTCTTGATTTAGCCATTTGGTCTTGATTAATTTAGAAGAGTTTTAGTTCAGCCAAGCTCAGCCTCATGGTGCTGATTGATTTTGCTGAAAGTTTTGATTCAACCACCTCATGCATTGACCAGGTATAAATAGCACCACTTCTTTTCTTAGAAGTTTTATTTAGTATTTCCATTGCATTGTATTTCTCTTATTAGGAGTAGTATTAAAATCCAACACTTCTTATATTTTGTATGCAAATCCTACTTATAAAATAGGATTAATTACAATGACACCCTCTGAGGTTTGTTGTATTGACAGCCATATACAAGTTAGCCCTTTTTTAAACAAAGACAACTTTAAGTTTGCAAATTTGAACTATGACACCCCAAACATGATGAAAGTACATGTTTACCCTTTGACCACGTAAAATGACCAAATTACCCTCATCCAAAAAATCTTTTATTCTTCCCATTTTTGGATCTTCCCTGCAAAAAATAAATAAATAAATAAATTTCATTATACACAACCACTACACCGGCACCACCACTGCAACCTCCACCATAGTTGTCAAAGGCGCCGGAGGCGCAAGGCGCCTCCAGGCGCCAGGTTAACGCCTTGAGTGTACTCAAGGCGGTTGGGTTATATAAGGCGTGCGCCTTTACGATCAAGGCGCCAGGCTACAGGCGCTAGAAAGGTGCGCTCGCATGAAACTTTTGTTTTTAACTTCTTTTCCTTATTTTTTTTTGTTTTGTTTGTGACTCTGTAGTCTGTAACTCTGTATTGTTATATTATTTGTATTTTGTATTGTATTATTTTAAACTTGAAAGCTCAAAGCCAAAGCCTATTGCAAGTTTGCAACATAAAAAACGAAAAAAAAAAAAGAGAAGCAAAGGAAAGAAGAACACAGAATCACAGACTGACAGAGGCAGCGAAGTACTCACTCGGGACTCTCGGATTTGCGTCGGCTCTCTCCAGGTTAGTTCTTCTTCTTCTCTCCTTCTCTTCTTCTTCTCTCCTCCTTCTCTTCTCGGATCTGCCGGATCGGTGATTCGGTCAGATTTTTTTTTTTTTTGTCTTCTTTTCTTCTTCTTCTTCTTTTCTTCTCTCGAGTCTGGGCCCTGGGGCCTCTCGGTTCTTTCTTGCTAGATATTTATGTCATTTATTTCTATTTTTCTTCTTCTTTTTATTTTTTTATTTATTTTTTTGCCTCTAGTTTTATTCTTCTTTTTCTTTTTTTCTTTTTTTCTTCTTCTTTTCTTGAGTCTCGGCTCTCTCCTGGCAGATTTGTTTTTTTTTTTTTTTTTTTTTTTTCTTCTTTTTATTTTTTGTTTCTCCAGTATTTTATTTATTTATTTATTTATTCATTTTTCAGTCTTGGCTCTCTCCTGAGTCCTGAGTCCTGGCAGATTTTTTTTTTTTTCTTCTTTTTATTATTATTATTTTTTTTTTCTTACTCCAGTTTTTTTATTTGTGTGAACAGTTGCATTTGTTCCATTCTAACATGTTGGTTTGAGGAAATGCATTTTTATCTAATTTTGTTAAAATGAAATAATTAGTTAAGTGTACTCTAATTTTGTAAAATCTTGATATACATTGTTGGATCGAAATTTTTGGCAGCTTAAACTTTTGTGATAATTAATATTCTCGAGTATTAAGGACCATTATGTACAAAGAAGAATCGAAGATAAAAAAGTGCTTTGCATAAATACCACTTTCTTAAGGTAATGATTGAGTTAAATCCATGAATAGCTGAAATTGCTGAATAGAAAGTAACTAATATTTTTGGTGAGGCCAGTAATCATGTGTCACGGACTGCTTTTTCTCCAAATTCTTTTGCTCTTCACTAAATTATACTTAAGCTCGGCTGCTCGGTGAAAATGGAAACATGTAAATTATGGTGTATACGGAATCATATTCTCATTAAAAAAATTTAAAATGTATACATGCAAAGTGATCATAACTCATAAGATGTGTTGATTAACTGTGGAATCAAAAAGCACAATCAATCTCAACATGGAAGTTTGGAACAAAGAGAGAATGAAAGGAAAGAAGGCACCCAAGCGAAAGTGATTGCTCTTGCCAATGAAGCTGTCACATTGTCAATACTTAATACATTACCTTACCCACCCAAAAAAACAAATGAAAAGTTAATAAATTATTCAATATCCGGATTTGCACATTCAGAGTTTACCATTTAATAATAATAATAAAATCATAGCATGCATCCAATTTGAGCTAGTCACCAAATTCTAATGAGAGTATGAGACCTTAAAGAATAATATTTTGTTTTTTGCATTCTGCCAAAGCTTTGTATTTATTTTTTTAAATTGAAATGTTAATATTGCTAATTGCTTTGAAGCTCTGTATTTATTTATTTATTTGCCAGAGTTGTTGCAGACACTGATTACATGATGCTATTATTTTATTATCTTGAATTTGATTGTAGTTTGTACTTTAAAAGATGCCTAGTGATGGTTCAAGAAAGGATCCGGCATGGAATTACTCACATTTGGAGAATCCGAAAGATATAAATGCCGTCACTTGTAACTTTTGTGCAAAAGTTACAAAATGAGGTATTTATCGGGCTAAACAACACTTAGCTGGAGGGTATAGAAATGTGAGTGCATGCCCAAGATGCCCATCTAGTGTTAGAGAAGAAATCAAAGAGTACATGAGTAAGAAAAAGGAAAAAAAAGATCAAATGAATTTGTTACCTAGTGATGAAATTAATTTCATTGATGGAGAGGATGAGGATGACATTATGGAAGTTAACAATTGAGGAAAAAGGGTAGCCAGTGCAGGCAGTGCTAGTGTCAATTCCTCAAAGATGCAAAAGCAAAAGGGACCGATTGATTTATATTTCACTCCCAGACCGGAAATTGTGGTACAAAAAAGAAAGGAGGGGGGAAAACAAACAGCCATTAATGATGCATGCAAGAAAGAGTTGAGAGGAAGAGCGTGTGCTGCTTTTGCAAGGTGGATGTATGATGCAGGAATTGCATTCAATGCTGTTAAGTATGATAGCTTTGCCGAGGTTGTTGAAGCAATTGGACAATATGGTCCTGGCATGAAACCACCTAGTTATCATGAGGTGAGAGTTCCTTTGCTTAGGAAGGAATTGGATAATACCAATGCTTTGATGAATGACCATAGGGAGGAGTGGTCAAAATTTGGATGCTCATTAATGACAGATGGGTGGACAGACAAGAGAGGGAGAACATTGCTTAATTTCCTAGTAAATAGTCTAAGGAGAACCATGTTTATTGAGTCGATAGATACTTCTTCTTTTTCAAAGGATGATGACAAGATGTTTGACTTGCTTAATAAATTTGTGAACCGCATTGGAGTAGCAAATGTCGTCCAAGTCGTCACAGATAGTGAGTCAAGCAATAAGTATGCCGGTAAGAATGTTCAATGTTTATAACTTTTAGAGTTTACATTCTTTACAAATATATAATTTAAATCAATTTTGATTTACTCATTCTCTTTATATCATTTTTTTTTTTTTTTCCGTTTGGTTTCAAATAGGGAGGATGTTAGAGAAAGAACACCCACATTTGTATTGGACCCCATGTGCTGCTCATTGCTTAGACTTGATGTTGGAAGACATTGGGAAAATACCGTCCATCTCTAGAACAATGCAGAGGGCAGTGGAGTTGAATAGTTATATTTATATGCGACCAAAGTTGTTAAACATTATGAGGAACTTTACTCACAAAAAGGAGTTGCTTAGGCCTGCTAAGACTCGATTTGCTACATGTTTCATCACATTATCAAGTATTCACAAGCAAAAGAATAACTTGAGAAAGATGTTTACTTCAGAAGAATGGAATCGTAGTAAATGGGCGAAAGAGGAAGCCGGTAAAAGAGTTGCTTCTTATGTTTTGATGCCTTCCTTTTGGAATAACATTGTCTTTAGCCTTAAGGTTTCTGGTCCTCTTATTCCGGTTTTGAGATTAGTTGATGGCGAGAAAAAGCCTCCCATGGGATACATTTATGCGGCTATGGATAGGGCTAAAGAAGCCATTGCAAAATCATTTGGGGGAGTAGAAGATAAATACTCAGATATTTTTGAAATAATTGATAAGAAGTGGAATGTTCAACTTCATCGCCCTTTGCATGCAGCAGGTTATTATTTGAACCCAGAATACTTTTATTCAAATTCGAAAATTGAAGAAGATGAAGAGATTGCAAATGGTTTGTATGCATGCATTGCAAGGTTAGTCCCGGATGTCAAAGACCAAGACAAAATTACTGAGGAGCTGTCCTTATATTCTAAAGCTGAGGGCCTCTTTGGTAATCCCTTTGCTATTAGACAGAGAAGTACACGAGGACCAAGTAAAGTGGTAAAGTATATTAAGTTAATATAGCTAAGTGTTAAAATTATTTTGACAATAGAGTCGATAGAAAGATGAAGCTAAAGTTGCTAAACATCATTATTAATTTTTTTTTAATAGCTAATTGGTGGGAAGCTTATGACAAGTCAACAAAACTTCTCCAAAAGTTTGCTATAAAGGTTTTAAGCCTTACTTGCAGTTCTTCTGGTTGTGAACGAAATTGGAGCGTGTTTGAGCATGTAAGTATATACTATTTACTAACTAGGTTTGTAATTTAATTGTTGAAAATTAAAATTTTAATTTTATATACTTACTAGTTAAAGTTGAATTTATTGCAGCTTCATAACAAGAAAAGAAATAGGCTCGCTCAAACAACGTTGAATGATTTAGTGTTCATCAAATATAATAGAGCATTGAGGCGTCGATATAATATGCG